TCCCCATTCCTAAATCTCCAAAACCCTAAAACGTCGGCAATGCACTCGCAACTCCTCCGTTCTAGTGTCTATGGGCGGTGCTGATTGCTTACCATCAGGTAATCCGAATGCTCGTTCACCAACATGTGACAAAAATCCTTTTTTTCGTACAAGAGAGTGGGAGAGTGTATTTCAGATTCTTACCCCCTTATACTAAGATTTATGTATCTTTAGTTAAGGGTAAAACCATTGAGTCAGTCAATTGACCAGTCATTCATCTACCTTCAATTCCAAATACAAAAACGAACTCAATAGTTTAGACCGAACTAAAGTAAAACCTTGTTTTGTAATAAAGCCGCCTGACTTGTATTTTATTTTTTGACAAAAAACGTTGCCCTACATTAGGATCTTCTCCTGTGTCGTGGGTGCGGTTACAAACATACAATTTCACATACACATGACACCCAGACCCGGAACAACAATTTGTGGATCACACAAAGAGTTATTCCGTGCGGGAATCGAAGCCGCGACACGTTGCACCTAATGTGCAGTCAAAAATTTAAAACCTCGTGTTCCTTTTCTTGCTCCCAAGCCGGAGCCACGGTATTATTGCGCTTGCAACTACAACCCTGGCTGAACATTGGCCTTATTGTGACCTATCTGTTATTCTCCACATTTAGGAAAGAGAGCTTTAGTTTCACATGCGGCCCAGAGCTTTGCTTCTCATACTTTAGGCCGCGGGTTCGAAAGCTGACTTACGGGACATTTTTAAGTTATATGTACTTTCCTACGAGTTGATACCTCAAAATCAATTAGATGCAAAAAAACAACACACTGAAACAAAAACAAAGCAAAGATCAAAACACTTAACCTGTTTCTTTTACTTATAAGCATAAAAGAACAGCTCTATTATGTAAGCACGAACACGTGTATGAGCGCCCTAATACAATGATGTACAACATTATGTGCCTACAAGGGAAGTACAAAACGTTGATTAGGTAGTTCACACACTCACCCATTTCCCTACTTTCCTGTCTCAGAATCAATGAGACAGATATGAATGGATTTCTTTGTAGAGAAAGTTATTGATTTTTATGTTTTTTTGTTGGATAGGACGGCTAACGAGCAGTCTCATGCATGATTACCTGATGGTAAGCAATCTGCTTCGCCCATTAACACACGAAGAGTTACGAGTGCGTTGCCGGCGTTTTTGGGATTAGAGATCCAAGGTTAGGGGAGCGAAAGAAGGATTAAGGTAACCTCATTCACACGGCGAAACAGAAATGTGGTTGTTTCTCGTCGGTTTTCTGTGAGGTCATGGTATGTTTCTGGTCGAGCCAACCTATAAACTCGTGCTGAAGCATGGCTCTCATACACTTATTATGAAGTTAACAATTGTTTCATGTGTAGGTTAACATGCTTATTGGCTGCATGAATGAAGAAATATAACTTTAATTATATCTTTAATAATAAACACGCTATCTATTAGGTGGCTCGGGGAGAACTTTTTAGCTCATTACCTTTTTCTTTTTAGCATTATCAAAGTAATCACATAAGTGATTACTTCTTTAAGTAATTTTTGAATTAAATTATTAAACAAATAAGAAATATGCTAAAAAGTTATCCCCGAGCCACCTGAGAGATAGCGTGGCGCCAGGATCGCTATATATTAGAGCGAGGTCAATGGTTTTAAAAACTTCTTGCAAATGTGCAACAGAATAATAGGTACCTATATTAAATAAAATCATAGTAAAAATCAATCCTACTGAACCATAAATAGATAATTTTAATACGTCAAAATAGAATAGTAATCTTAATCTGTTCCCGTTTCAAATTGTAGATTCGAATGGAGAATAATGAGCACAAAACTCCATCGTTTCTCTTTAAAACAAAATATTATCCTTACTCCTTCATTAATACACGATTTAGTACTCATAAATAATATGTACATAGTATTACTATATACGGTAGTGTATTAACACTACCCGAAGTTTACAAATATAACAATAGAATAATCCTTGTCATGTAATGGTCCTATTTTTAATTATTCTATTCCCTACCCTATTAATTTGAAAAAAGAATCTGTTCGAAATTCAATCCGCTTAATCAAATTGCATAAAAATAATTGGATCCAATTATAATTGGCCAAAATGCCGGTTATTTAAGCGGAATTTTAAATTTATGGCTTTTTCATAAGAAACAGGGTTTCTGAGTTTATGGTGATTTGAAATATAAATAATAATTTTAATAACAGACTGTAGAAATGTGCTTAAAATGTCAGTTATTTTCCCTTGTCGCGCGTTCTTATTTTAATCAGTGCAGATATCCAGCGGCTATTTTAAAACCGTTTTATGGACTGGAACACAGTTTTGAATTCAAAGTTGGAATTCTGTCACAGATACCGTCAAAGTTAGAACGCTGTTTGTGTTAAATCTGGTAGATTTATAAATAATGTTTTTATTTGTGTTATAAAATACTCGAGTTTTATTATCTGTTAATGTCTCTGTATATATTTATCCTATGTATTTTGAGTATTTGAGTATGAATAAAAGATTTATTGGTAGGTAACCTAAATAAGCACTGCATTTCTATATATGTATTTTATACATAGTACATAACGTAAAAATGTAATAGGTATCTATAAGTTTTCAACAATACTTTATTTCGGCTCGAATTTATTTAAATGTACTTAATCAGCAAGAAATTTCTAGAATATGATAATAATCGTTGAATTAAAGGATGAATTTTGATTTCAGTTTCGAAAACTTAAGGTTAGACTGACTAGACTGGATATTTTACTATCAAATACCATAGCGTCATTTGTTTCTATTCCAATTTTGAAAGTTTCACTTGAGATGACCACAGAACAGAAAATTAAGTAACGATATACTGGTCACATTTAATAATGTTTTAAAGAATGTCTAATACGATACACACAATGTTGTTTTATGAAATTGATTCTTGTCATCAAAGATTTGAATTATTTTTCTTAAATAAACTTAAGAAATCTTAAACAATGTTTTTTTTTTATTTTCAGGGAATTATCATCCTGATTGTAACGTCACATTTTTCAATCGAAATAAAAATAAATTAATAATAATAATTTGATTTTTGAAATATTGATTTAGTTAGTAAGTAAATCGCTTATAGGCATTTGAATGACATAATGATAATGGCGATACAACTGATTAAGAAAATTCCTTTACACTAGTGGCAATAGCACAAATTATAATTATAGATTTGATTGGAAAAACCCTTGTTTAGTGTGAACAATAAATTAGAAAACAGTAGTCTATATAGTTTGCGATTGTATCAAATTATTATTATTATCCAGTTGTGAACTTCATGCGATTGTTATCAAGGCTTTCCTTGGGAACTTTCCATTTAGACATTGTTTGGTATATGGAAAATTATTTCAAGTACAAACTATTTAGTTCTTAAATTAAGAACAACAATTGTTAATAAACTTTCTTTGTCTTCTACTAGAAGCAGATAGAGAAACCGGATGGTTTTTAGCCAGTAAGAGTCTGACACATTAATAACATTTGATGTCTCCCACCCTCTCTTTATAAAAGGAACATTTACTCGTACATGAAGTCCTTTGGTATGCTAATTTTATTTAGTTAGTAATTTTTATCTTTAGTTAGTAAATATTTTCTTTATTACATAGTAACTCTTCTCTTTTTTTTAAAAGAAAACATTGCTCCACGCTATGATTTTCTCCTGTGTAGTAGAGTAGGTGCGTTTACAAACATACAATTTCACATATACAATCACACCCAGATCCGGAACAACAATTTGTGGATCACACAAAGAGTTGTTCCGTGCGAGAACCGAACCCGCGACACGTTCTCTGGCAGCCGGTTGCCCAGCCATCGTGCCAACCGGGCAGTAATTGAAAGCAACATATGACAGTTCTTATTGAAGAGAAAAGTACTTATAGAAGTTAAAAGATTTGTTCAAGTCGAAGAACAACTTTCTGAGATTAGCGTCTCTATACTAATAAACAAAGAAGCAAGTAAACAAATACACTACAGTTTTACAAGACTAGTTTAAAGTGCAGTCAGCTTCTTTGGCTGGATGTAAGATGCGGAACGGCAACGCCTGTCTCTAGTACGCGGTCGAGCGGTTCAAAGTATTGTATCGCTTTGTGTAATCCTTTGAGCACATAGGTACTGTGGCGTATCTGCGATGTTGCCGCTCAATCATGTATGGTTTTAGTCACGTAGGTACCTATTGCTGTATTGAAGCGTTGTATTTCTTTGTTTTTTTTTTCTAATATTAGAAGCTTACTTTGAAGAACGTAGGGATTATCATTGCCACTAAATACATGCAAGCACCTAATATTGGGTGACGTTTTTGTCGCACTTTTTGTTCGTCTGTTTTCGTTGTCATAAAACCTTTTACAGTAGCTTGCGGGCTATCAAAAATTAAGATATTTACTGCTGAATGTTTGCTATAACTTTCAAATCAACAGATTGGAAGCGACCTATATTATAATGAACTCAAAAAAAGATAAAAGTTCTTTCCTAAAAGTGTCTCGAGTTGAGTTTTGATTTAACTCATACAGACGCTAGAATCATGATAAAAATAATTATAGTACATGTTATTCTTAACGGTTAATTGTATCAATGCCAAATATTATCCAGATCCGTTCACTAGTTTCTACAAAAAGAGTAATAAACTTTTATCCTTCCAAACTTTTGTGTTGCTGGCTTGGCCTTTCGCCACTATCTCAGTTGCGTAAAACTGTGTTGTGTGATTGATATCTTTTTAATTTTGATAAAGTATAAAGTCGACAGCAATGGTGATGACCCGTGATCGTCCACTCCACTGTTGAACTATTAGATCTCCACAACACAAAGGAGTTTACCATTCTCATCATTCTAGCAACGAAAATCACATTTATCTTTATTTTGAATCAATATTACGTCTAAACTTCAGAACAACACACAAACTGTCATATCAACTCTACACGACATTCAATTTAAATATACCAATGCTCTCAAAGTAATTACAAGATGGCAGCGATTATTAAGTACCCCAGTATTATTCGAGGGTTGAGTGGTTGGGACGGTCAGATATACATAATTCTACATTTCAATATCACATCATAACACAGCCTTTATTATAACTGCGCATTTAAATTAGGATGAGGTTAGCTTTAGAATTGTTATTGAGGTTTTTGTAATGTAGTATTTATTTTAAGGTAGTGAAGGTTGTTTGTTGGTTGAATTTTATTGATATGTTGTTAATTAAGGTAGTGTTGTATAAGTGCCCACTACTGAGCAAAGGCTTCATCTAACACGAAGAAGTTTTGTCTTTTGAGTGATGATTGGTGATGTCAATGGTGTCTAAATACAGTTAGAAAGTAAATATATCTTAAAAAAGTCACATGACATAGTATTTGCCAGGTTTTTAATCCGCACTCTCATGCCCTTGCAGTTGGCCCAGAGCAGGAGAAGGAACAGGGGGGTTTTTAGTCAGTAAGAGTCTGACACTCCCTCCCAGAAATGACTTGATCAAGTCATTTGATGATTTTCCCACCACAAAACCTCCGGCCCACCACTAATAGTACCACTAATAACAGAATAAAAATAAAATCCAGTCAGCGTGACAAAACATAGACTTTTACAAAAAAGTTTCACTAAAATTACTATTTCAATGAATCCATAAAAAAATCTTATCATATACCTAGGTAAATAAATAAACAAAAACAAGAATCAGAAAATTTAGTTCCTAATACTCAGAGGCAGTACATCATTTCGTAATCTTCAATGTAACACGTTATTCGGTTCTCAGAGGAATCCGCAACTGTCATTGTGATAAAATATTGGAGCAGCGATAAGAAAAAGCGGGCCATGCATGGTAATACCTTACGTTTGCATTTTAATGCCGGATTCGAAAATGAACGGCTTTTGTTCCTGTTTCAGGATTCATTTATTCGTTGTTTGAAATTCTGTATTTTTTATCCTCTTTCGATCGGAATAGACAATCAAAGACTTGAAACTATGTTACAGGTAGCTTGTAGTACAGGATGATTGAATTTTAAAGCGAACTCTTACTAGGTTTTTACAATTGAGGGTTTTGTGGAGGGAAGGTCATCAATGACTTCTGGGAAGGAGAAGTTCGTGTGTAATCTTACTGACTTTAAAGTTCCGACCCTCTCCTGCTCTAAACAAAGGCCGAGGTACCTTATTACGCTTGCAGAAAATAACTATGCTTGAGTTTGTATTGTTACCTTAGAAGTGGAATTAAGATTTTAATAGTGACATTCACCATTACAAAGATTACTTTAAAAATTTTTTCGTTGCGATATGAGCTGTTACTTCTCAAATTCATTGCGAATTCAATATATTGTATTAATATCACAAAGAACTCCAAAAATACTTCTTAAGTATTAAACCGACACACACTTAGCTGGAAAACATTTTAAAATGAAACAAAATGTCACCTTCATTATGATTTTAAGTCTCTCTTCAGTGCTTAGTTCGAGTATAATCCTAAGTTATAAAGCCTAGGAGATATAAACTGGTATAGTACAAGGCACTAGCTTACACTGCCGTATTTCAACGAGGGCACACAGCGCAGTGCAAACAGTACGGTAGCTTCGAACATAGAGTTTGTTATATGTACTCTAGCGCTTGTCACTAATAAAATATTCAGTAACTAACACACTGGCTTTGTGTTTACAATGAAACCAATTCTGAGGAATAGTTTGAGGGCTATTTATTTTTGATTTTGGTAATTGATACGTTGAAATTGGAACGTTTATTTAGTATAACGTTTGTTGTTCTTCGAAGGGTGGATACTCGGAAAGGTTGGTTTTAGTTTATGTCTAACACCATGATGTTTTTAGAATTTATCTTACTTTATGATTGAGCTGAACATACAAAACTCTGAAGTAATAATGAATAACAGTATAGATATACTCACAGTAACTTTACATGTAAAAGTCAAAAGTCAAAAATCATTTATTCCAATTAGACCTTTACAGGCACTTTTGAACGTCAAACAAAATTTAAAATAAAAAATAGTGTCAGTCTGTCGGTCAGTCCTCTTAGTGAAGCTATTTGCTCGTTCCAAAGTGTAGATTCCGATGGAGAAGAACGAGCAAGAAACTCCATGGTTACTCTTTTTAAATCAGTTTCACATACAGATTCCTTTTACAAACAGTTGGTACAATTATGTAATATGAACAGTTGAATTTTAGAAATTATTTTTTGGATTATAACGGCGATTGTCATATTTGATCCTTTAAAAACACTTACTTTCCTGTATCCTAAAACATTTAAGAGTGGGAGAGCCATGCTTCGGCATGAAAGCTTCGGCTCGACCTGAGTAGTACCTCGGCTTGACAAAAAACCGATGTGAACCAACCGTTGCTTGAGTGAAGTTACCTGAATCCCAATCTTTCAAACCTTCCAATCCCTAAATCTCTAAAATTCTAATCTCAAAAGGCTAGCAAAGCACTCGTAACTCCTTTGATGCTCCAAGTGTACCAAGTGCGGAGGCCCAATCCTTCCTCTCCCCTAATAGGGATCCATGATAAATCCCCAAAAGGTCGGCAACACACTCGTAACTCCTCGGTTGCGGGTATCCAGTGGTTTCGCTGATTGCTTACCATCAGTAATTCAGATCTAAAAATAAAAAAATAAAAAAAGTGTGATCAATTGGTCAGTGCAATTGCCCGATGTATTAAATATCAAAAATGTTAACTAGCAAACATTCGACGAACGAATCAAATCAAATCATTAACATGAATTCCAAGATACAAAAAAACACAAAAAATATTTCCATAAACTACTGTAACTAGTTTACTGTAGCACAAAGCTTGTAACGTACCACGTGAGTACCTCTTGATAAATGAACTGAAGGCTGCAAGCCACCATATCTTTCTGGTTAATAAACCCTTGCTCTAATTTCCTCTCTCAAAGGAGCCAAGCTATTTACGGAACCAATCGCCTTGATAAGGATGTCATATTACCATCTCTCCCCTATGATAATAAAATTTGTTTTATAAAGTTATTATGGTAGGGTTTAATTTTGTTTGCAAAGACTCCTATGTTGTTTAAGTGGTTGAGTGCTTATTCGTTTAACTCTTTCAGGATTGAGTAGTTGAAAATGTAACATTTGTGTATTATAGACATAGTTCACATATATACCTATATATATGAGCTGTCATTATATGTATCATTTCCCCTTTTCTTATTTATGGATGTATATCTTATATATGGAAACTGATTGCTATACATATTACGGTCGGAAGATTTCCTAATCTAAACAAAGGGAAAAAGAACTCGATAATAAAAAAGAAATAAAAAAAATACGTATTTTAATTTAGCATATTTTACTTGAAATATTAATAAAATAAACTCTTCTAGAAAGCAGTTAATTAAAAATTTTGCACAATAATAAAATGTTCGAAATAAAACTCGAATAAATAAGTAAAATAGCTATCCAGTGCTTGGCTAAGCGCATGTTGGTTTTAAATGCGGCTAAATGAGTTTAACTGGTCTATAAAATTAATTAGCGTTCACCACATTGGTTCATGAAAATACTTAGAGCAATTAGGAAATACGTGGATTAAATTGAAGCTAAGTTAAACCTTCATTGAAGATCTTTGTTTATTTCATTTGAAATTTAAAGTTTTTTGTATAACTTTTTATTTATATTATTTTTTACTCGCTTTATATATTAAAATTAGCTGTCAATCGTAATAAACTCCGATAATATTTTGCGAGACCCGGGTATCGAATATTGAATTTTCGAAAATTGAATTGCATTTATAACCACACAGTCAACAAAATTATTGCAGACACCATTGCATTGTTTTTAAATTTATTTTTGACCTAAACATATTTTTTTTATCGGCTGATTATAAATTCTATTTCGTTATATTTTTGTTTTCTTCGTCTGGTTTGTATGCAACAAACATTTTTTTTTGAATTCTTCTCATTTAAACTTTTGTTTATTTTGGATGTGATTTGACATGATTTAAAATATATTCGAATATTATTATTATTTTTTATTTAAAAATATATTCGAAAATTATGTTTCAATATTAGTTATCTACGTCGTACAGGTGGTGTTTACCTGTAAGTGATTGCTTATTAGTACCTCATGAATAATATATTATATACTATTTATCATAACTAACTGTAACTACAGTTGGTAGACCTAATAGATTAAGTAAATGAATAAAAAATAATGAAATAAACACAAGTAGTAGAACTAATCATAAGTTGTATTATCTGTAAAGCACGTCTAAGAATCCCATCATACATAATAATATACAGTACTATTTCACTATGTAAACAACAAAGAGACCCAGTCACCTCACTTAATGAACTGGAAAACCTCACAGCGAAATTGCACTTTTCCAGTCGCGAACATCACATAAAATTGAACAGAAACCAATCCCATGTGTTTGTAACAGCTGGGGGCGGTACAATGAGTATGAATTGTACAGAGACTAAAGCGTCTTAATATTTGTTTGTTCTTTCCTTTCACGGGACCACAGGGTCCCGGACCTTTGGAAGGCATACGAGGAGCCGGGGCCAACTCGCAGAGGCCCGTTGAACAATTTTAATCTAAATGTGATGGGGCATCAGCCGGCAATTATCCCTGTATGCACTATAAAAGTGCACCCAAGGACAATCCCCGGTTGATGCAGGACTATGGTAAAATGTGGTAACAATTGATAGGGTTATGGGTATGGGTTGCTATGCACTAGTGGATGAAAACTATGGAAATACTATGGCCCCTGCCCCTGACCAATATTGATACATACGGATAAACAGGCAGAGGTGACTGGCAAACTCAATTAATGGGCCCCCGGAAACGGCCGCTAGCATGTAGCGACACGGAGGCAACATACGTTGAGCTGCTTGGGGAAGGAGAGGCATCCCACGGCTATCAGAGCAATCCCGGAAGTACGGTCAAGACCCCTACCAGCACCTTACTGAGATACATCCTTCCCCCGAGTCTCCTTCAACTCCTACTCTTGCGAATCTCCACTCAAGCCAGCCAATTAAGGCAAGAATGAGGTAGGAGGGCTTGTTCTTCATATTATTATTTTTTGTGGAATTCAAGCTTTTTAGTACAGCGTGCACGTATTTAATTGATGATCTCAAAGGGTATAGAAAAATTAAGTCAAAAAAAAGTAAGTCAAAATCATTTATTTCAAATAAACCACAGTAGGCACTTTTGAACGTCAAGCAAAAAAAAAAAATCAAGATGTTTCACTTTAAATGCGTATCAGTCTGTCGGTCTGTCCTCTAGTGAAGCTATTTTGCTCGTTCCAAAGTGTAGATATTTTGTAAACTAAAACTATTTTTTAATAGTAACTATCGTGGGACACAAAATTTATTGAAAATAACGACTTACTCACGTGAATTTACTGAGAAAAGCTCTACTAGTTTCAAGTCACAATGGGACTCTTATTCATGACCAGCGTGCTCGTCGCGGTGACGTTGCCCAGTCAACAGCTAAAACACTTCGTGCAAGTTAATGGATCATTATTTCACTGCACGTTTAAGTATAGTGAGTCTTAATAACTTGGGAACTTTCTAACAGTCAAACATTGGATTTACTAAAATTGCGGGTTACTCACGTATCATTGAGAAAGGCTCTACTACTTTCGAACCACAGAGGGGTTCTTCCTCATGAGCATGATCATGATCTTTTCTCAATATATTTATGCGATTTAAAGTTAATTTAGTATGTCTCACGATATTTGTTATAAAACAAACATTGGATAGTGCAGAACGATAATAATTTTTACAAGTTCTAAATGTTAACAGAGCTAGCTAACTTACTCTCATACATGAATCGAAAACGAGTTGACAAATACATAGTGCTAAATTTATAAAACTAAATAACTCTACACCGTGTGATCTCTGTAACATATTTACTCTTGTACCGTATGCTCCGTTTACGGAATACGAATTGCGCTGGGAATAAGTATGTTTTTTTTCTTTTAAGTTTAAAAAAGTTTCGTTGTTGGCACAATAATAAAGCTGTCGGCTTTTTTGAAATGTGCGGGATTACGACTGGAGACCGTCCATTTTAAAATGTTCTGCTCTGAAATATTATGGTTTTTATACATTGTTTATTTAGCGGAAACTTTTATGCTTAAATAAAAGAAACTGAATAATCATCGCACGGTTGAAAGAGAGAAGGTTTGTTAACATTTTATGTTTTCAATCTGTTGGACGAATTTTTTGGTTAAGTTCATGTTTGTTATTTTCTATTCAAATCAACATTCAAGAACGATTTAGCTTTATTCACAAACTTTAACATTTTTTTTTGGCTGTAGCTTATTTGTAATATGTTTTTGACTTTGAATTTGAAAATTCCAAAATCTCTCAAATTTCCCATTCCCAGAATCTCCAAATCCCTAATCCCCAAAAGGTCGACAACGCACTCGTTACTCCTGCGTCGTTGCGGGTCCATGGGCGGTGCTGATTGCTTACCATCAGGTAATCCGTTTGATCGTTTGCCGACCTATCACATAAAAAAACATAGCTGAAGTATTTATTTTTTATAAGTATGACTAAATCTACCAGATCTAGTGTATCGGATGATACAATTTAGCTCAGAGGTATAGATTAGAATAGATATAGAACAAAAATAAAAAAAATCATTAAATTATGGTCACGTGAATTACATGAAGGAACATAAAATAAACTTATTGAGTTATGAACCAGTCAAGAAAAAACAAACGAGTGATTCGATAACTTTTTATTTCCTTTCCCAAGCCCTTTGAAAAGGTCAGTTTTTTCACTCCAACAACTTTGATTTTATCGCAAAATGTCAGTAAGCATTTTAAGTAAACACGTTCAGTATTTTCCTGAAATGACGTAGACTTAACTGATTAGACCAACTAACTCATTAAAACTACAGCGAGGATAAAAGTTCAGTGGTTTCACGCATTTTAAAATAGAAAACTTGCTTTGAAACTACGCCTCTTAACCACCACTATAATTAGAACTATGTGGTAACAAAAAGTAAATTCTAATTGCTTTGGATAGAGTCGGTTTTGCTATTTCTGAGTGTCAATGGCGCTGGTCGTTGTGTGTGACGAAACGAGGGCATCTTCTGAGCTGTCGTGATGACCCGCCGTCCTTGTTTAATAATACTTTCCGAGCCAGTATGCTACGACAAATTCTCTTGTTATAATGTGTCTACGGCGTAGCGTGCTACGGTGCTACGCGGACTACGTAAGTATGGCGTAGCTTTGATGTTGTTTATAATAGGGCTTAATTGGTCTCAGAATTCTGTCTTGCGTTTAATTGCTGAAGGCATTCTAGACTTCACTTAGTAGTGTTTATTAGAACGTGCACTTGTAGAATGTTTGTTGTCTCTGGGAGAATTTACCAGAATTGCTATTATTAACTGACTGCTAATAAATACTATTCAAATGCCTATTGGAATTATGTGAGTGTCAATAATTCTTGGTGTCAAAACGGCTGTTTTATTTCATAAAATAAATATTCACTTTTATCCAGTAGGAAAATATTTAAAACTTTCGTTTGAATTACACAACATTGTCATAATTTAAACAGGTAAATTTCAGTCATGTCCAGACATACCTTGACTTGACCAAATTGTTAATAATAAATCCATATTTTGATTTTTTTAATGGTATATGTCGGCTAACGAGCAGACGTATTACCTGCTAGTAAGCAATCAGCGCCGCTCATGAACACACGCAACACTAAAGGCATTACGAGTGCATTGCCGGCCTTTTCGGGATAAAGGTTTCGGATATTTATTAAGGATTGGGAATGAATAGAGAGAGGGAGAGAGATTGGGCCTCCGGCAACCTCACTCACACGACGAAATACAACGTTGTGGTTATTTCACGCCGGTTTTCTGTGAGGCCGTGGTATCACCCCGGTCAGGCCAAACCATTCTTGCCAAAGCTTGGCTCTTCCACACTAAAATTTAACTTAATTGATCGTGGAACATTAGCATTGGACCATTTCAAAAATTACGTAACCGAATATCATAATCTAAAATATTGATAATAATAGTTTTATGACTTTCAAAGTCTTATTGATCTTATTGAAATAAATGAATGGAATTTGCCTTTGACTACATTGCTTATGTCTCGTCTCACCTGTGCCTAGCAAGAACTAATATTGGCATTATCCGATATAGCTTTGTTTTCATACATATTGAATACATAATGTTTACTTAACTAGAAATGGAACGTCAGATGTTTGTGTAATAAACCAGATAACGGGTTAACTACAACGTTTATCTTCAAACAATATGTTAGGTAACTGATCTTAGTTTAAACGATGTAATCATTAATTGTTTGTATCGTTGTTCAAGTCATCGTAACAGAGTCTGCTGAAATTTCAAGTCAGACAAAGCTTTCCACATTAGCCTTTATTTAGTTTTTTTATGTGATAGAATGGTAAACAAATCCTGATAGTAAGGCGCCCATTGATACCGCTACAACGGAAGGGTTACGAGTGCTTTGAAGACCTTTTATGGATTGGGGATATGAAGATTCTTGGAAGCATTGGGCCTCAAAACCTCACTCATACGGCGAAACACAACGCTGTGGTTGTTTCACACCGGTTTTCTGTGAGGCCGTGGTATCGCTCCGGTTGAGCCGACCCATTCCTGCCGAAATATGGCTTTTTCACACTCAAGATAAGATTAAATTGAGATAAATGTTTTCATATAATATTACCTTAAATTTAAACACAACTAGTGAAAAAGTTGGTATAACATCATTTTCTGGGCAACCAGTAAGTAATACCAGCGCCTTACAAAAACTAACTCAATAGTGAAACAAGACTTGCATTGTGTATTTAGTTGTATTTGTAAAGTTCCATTCTCAGTTTAATTCCCCTATTCCCCAAACCTGTAATTCCTAAAAGGCTGGTAACGAAATTTTAACTAACCTGAGTGTGGTATCAGTTATTGATCCGTCGCCTTGATTGCCTTTTTCGACGTATTAAAAACAACATATAATTATGTACATAAATGTTTTTATGGTGTACCTTTACTCACCGTTTCTTAGATCAGACACAACATAGTATTAAACAAATTTGCCATAACATTAAAATGTTACAAGCGACATATTTGCTTATGTAAGCGACATTTTATTTCCATACGTAACATGCATATCGTTGTGTTTTACGAGCGATAGGCGGACGTATTTATTACAAAATACTAGAACATAGTTTGTTACCAGACGGTCTAAGATATGGGAAGTATCGTACTTGCAAAATTGGTTTGAATGAGACGGAAAGACCGGTATGTGCGTTGGTAAGGAAAAAAGTCTACAATGGTCTTATGAGGAAAAGATTATGTAGTTTTAGTAAGAAAATAGGTTGTAGTTTTTTTTTGTTTTTAGTTCCCCTGTTTTTGGAAGTTTCTAGGGATGTTCATTGCTTATTTTTTTAATTTTATATTGTTTTATTTATTATATTTTGCGGATGAGGTGATGTTCATCTGATATGATGATGACGATGATGATTTATACTGATTAAGTGGTCTTTCGTGAATTATATTTTGTAACCTTTCGGATGTCATTGCTTGATATTACCATAATTAAGGTACAGATAATATATCGTTTCCTTTATATTTTAAATCCTAAAGTAAAGACCATGCCAGTTCTTCACAAAGAGTAGAAAATTAGCAAGTACCGATGTGAGTTGTTTCGTTTATTAAATGAACATTCAGACATCATTGACATATTATGTTGAAGGAAAAAATCTTGTGGAATCTTAGACTTTAAATTTCAATTTTAGGTGTTAAATTATCAAACCTCCTTGAGAAAGCTTCTTTATTAATGTTCAAACCGTCTCTGCAGAAGAGGCCTTTACTCAGGGCACTTAGTACAGGCTGACGATGTGTAGTACAAAAGACGTACCTACCACAAAATAATTAATTACCACTTTGAGTATATCACACAGGAATGAGTGTCGCAGTACATAGACAAAAAAATTATACTTAGATACAAAGTACGAAATCCTGCGATAGATATACATACTGGTTTCTCAAGTACTCACTGTGATCCTTTCCAGATCTTTATCGAGTTCTCAAAGTCGTAAGAAGCGCTAAAATATTATCTGCTCGGATTTTGTTTACGATATAACTGTCCCTTTTGAAGCTGTTTACTGACGAATAAAACGCACTATGTATTTAAGATAACATTGTTACATGAAAATGGTCTCGTTTCTTCTTTTGACTTCGAATTTTGTACGTCATTTTGTAAAAGATAATGTATGTTTGAGGGTTTATGAATGCCAGTTTTGATTAGAGATTTATATCAGAGTTTTTGAATTTTAATTTATCTGCCCCTCTTATGTTAATGGCTGGGAATATTTGGACATTGTTTGTCGTCGAATAACAATGTCGAGTGTTTAATGAGTGTAGGTTCAGTTTATTTGTGCTATGGATATTTCTTTACCTGTTGATGATTAATTTTGCTACTAAAAACATTACACTGTAACATCTTACTAATTATAAATGCGAAAGTTACGATGTTTGTCTGTTTGGATGTTTGTTACTCAATTACGCCAAAACTGCTGAATGAAAGGACATGGCCAACTTTTGTATGGGCGTTTGCATAGTTATTGAATTCAATGTACATCAATGATTTTTGGTGTTTACATTCGTGAATATTATTAATTTAAAATGCAAAAAATAAAACACATGAAGAACTCGTAATTATAACAAACAAGACGAAAATAGTTTCACTAAACCTTTAGTCAGATTACTGGCCATAAGTGCACGAAATAAGATTTTCTTGTAAAAACCATGGCGTTTTAATTATTTATTTATTAATTTATAAAATAAAACAAAACAATATGTATAAAGAATAATGATTTATTTATTAAGGAGAATAAATAAAATAAAACTACGTAATAATTCACTTTTATATTTTTATTATAAAGTGTATTTTATTATGTTTGTGTATGGAATGTACGTTTCTTTAATATATATTCTGTAATAATATGGTAGTACTTTCCATTTGAAGCGGCCTGCTTAAAACAGGTGGTAATGGTGGTGGCTCTGGTGGGCTAACCACTTGAATATAAGAGGCTACTGCATTGTTGTCCGAACCCACTTCCTGCAGGTTTCGTAATAAGTCCTGCACTGTCTGTCTATTTGCCTGCATACGGCACACATGACAAACATAGTTGCTTCTTGAGGTCTGAAAATAAACCCCAGTTAGAATAAACACATGTTTTCAAGTTTTATGTTATTGTACAGTGAGAAATATTATGTTACAACATGCCTATTTTAAAGAAGTCTATGCAAACATGGAAAATACATAAAGATAGATATTATAATCACACATACCTACTATGAGTACTTTTTTTATAGATTAATATAAATAAATACAAGTACATATATAAAACAATGAATAAAAAACAAAATGCTTACCACATTAATAGTATTTTGCGATATTAGGCCAGCTAGCAATGGAGAGTCCATACTGACATTATGGTGTCTTATTTTTCGAACCGATTTTCCACAACCAAGGCAAGCCATGTTATGCCCCAGTAGTCTCTCATGTTCACCAGCCTCAGTATTCAATAATAAGAAGCGTGGTTGAAAAATGAATGTCCCCAGAGGCAACTAAAAAAAAACATGCACTATTTAAAATCGCATACCATGATAGAACATAAAAAAACAGACTAAGTATTATATATTCCGACTTCATACCTGGGTTTGAGCTGGTTAACCAACGTGAAAGTTTTGTTTGATGGTGTGCAGAAAGCGAGGATATAAGACGCCTCTGCAGCCTTTGTACGCCTATTCCGCAGTTGATGATGAGGATTCCGCACAAAACAAATCCAAAACGCAAAACAGTAACTCCAGTATTATTAGCAAGGTTAACAAAAACACGCTGTCAAACACGTTCCGTTTCGTTTAAGTTTTTTTTGGTGAATTGGATAAAAATTAAAACATAATATTATTATAATATGAGTATATTTTAAAATGCAACTAAAACCAATGAATACAGTTTCGTATGAATAAAATGTTCCTAGTGTAATGCATTTGTCGATCATATCACACGTCTTCTACAAGTGTAGTTTAAGACACGTGGTTTGGAATTAGAACGTCTTTTTATTTTTTTTATAATAACTATCGTGAGACATACTAAAGTCTTTTTATTTATCTTTCTCTATGGACTATTATGGCGAAACTTGACAAACGAAGTTGATTTTGTTGCATTATTTTTACATTTTTTTAATAATAATTGTCAGGTCTGGAGAGGCTAAAAACTACGTAATAATTCATATTTCTATTTGTATTTTACAGTGTATTAATTTTGTTCGTGTACGTGGAATGTACTTTTTTGGCCATGTCCTTTGGCATAGGACATAGGACTCCGGAATAGGACATAGGCTACTTTTTATCAGCATACCAAGCGGGCGAAGCCGCGGGTGGAAGCTAGTATTTCAATATTGAACTGGACATTAATATTTTTTCTTTTGTCAAGCTTTTAAATGTCGTTCAATACGCGAGAACGTAGATTTTAAATAAATAACTTATTTTTACTGTTCATTATGGATGATGTTCGAAGGTCGAGGAATCGGGTCTAAGGTCAGGAAAATCTGCACCTTTAATTCTTAAAATAATTAACAATGCAACATCTTGAGAACTTGGACTGTCCGTCCTCATTTTCGTGCCTCTATTTAGGAGAGCCCAATTAATGAGAACTAACTCCTATGTACAGATATTTAAAGTTTCGTTTAAAATGTTACTGGCGTTCGTTTAAATAATTCATTATGACGTTAAGCAAAATAAATTCTCTTTTTAAATATGAAGATGGCATGCATTTGACTTTGAACCATGAACCTGTTTGATTGCTTTTTTAATGTTTTCTAATTAACCGTCTCCAGGCGGAAATTTATTTACAGTGATGTTGATTATTTTGTGGGTGTAAAATGTGTATGTGAGTGCTACTATAAAATGGACGACATATTTCGATAAAATTCGAATTTCTAGATTTTTGTGATTCAACCTTGAAACCAAAATAGAAATTGTAGGTACAGTCTAAGCGGTTTGGGTTTGGTCAGGAAACGCAAGGGAACTATTTCGTTTTAAGTCACTTAAAGCCACTGCCACTCTCTCTAGCCTTACCCAAGCTGGAAGAAGTTAAATTATGATTTTCGCCCTACAAGAAACTACTACCAGGAATCCAGGAATCATACCCAATATTATTCAGCAAACGAAGCAACCAACCATCTATATTTTATTCATAAAATCGTATAGCTTATTCATGAACGATATACAGGGTGAGTGAACTCAAAGACTTTGTGCTTTAAACATTCAACTGTTAATAATAGGTAAATGCGTCATCAACATTTCTTAGAACGCTTTGATTGGCCCGATTACTTATTGAAGCCTAAAATTTAGCCTACCACATAAATCATTCAAGTAATACAAGAAGCCATTTTACACGTCACACGTACTTAGTATGCAAATTTGGACCTTATTCTAATAAAAATACGTACTGGAAAGAATATTATTCATTTTACGAGCAAACTCCCTTGATTTCTTAACTTTAGATGGGATTAAGGCGACACAAGTTTTTATTTATGCGAGCGAATTTTTGGTGGAGGTCTTCGTGATGGTGATAAACTGGAGAGTTATTGTTTAAGCTATTAGTGGATTTTAGCTGGTATTTTTTTATTAGGTATTACTGTCATCTTGGTTAATCAACATAATCCGGTAAATTAAGAAAATAAGAATTGAATAAGACTGTAAGAATTGTAAAAAAAACCTTTCCAAGAAATGTACCATTTTATTCCAAGTATAAATTGATTATTAAAAATGAAATTCAAAAAGCATTATTAGTTTTTAAAATATTGATGAAGTAACTTATGGCCGACCAGTGGTTCCAAAGATTACCCCCTGCATACTAACATACAAACTTACAAATTTTCCCTTTTTGCAATATTAGTAAAGACGATATTTTCTTAAAGCCTTAACACGGCAATTATGACCTACCACGCGCACGTAGAATCAATACTCCGTTATGGTCTGATAATATGGGGATATAGCACAGACAGGGATAAGGTATTTATCGCACAAAAAAAGTGCATAAGGGCGATGTATGGTCTGCAACCTGATCAGTCTTGCCAGCCAATATTTAAAAAACTTGGTTTGTTACCATTACCGTCGCTTTACATCTATGAAGTTTGTATTTTTGTAGCAAAAAATAGACATTTATTTAAAAGTGCAAACGATGTCTATTCTCGAAATCGCAGAGATTCCTTTAGACTTGTACTAAGTGACATTCCTAAATCAGCAAAGTATAATAAGAACTGTTTAGCTATGTGTATTCGAATTTATAACAATATACCAAATGATTTAAAATATCTTGATCTCAATACATTTAAAAATAAATTGTATAAATGGCTTAATGAACAAAATTTTTATTCCATACATGACTTCATGCAAAGGAAACTGTATTCTCGGTATCGACTGTGATCTGCCCGCTATCTTATATTGTTTAATTTTGCATGCTATATATAATTAGCAAAACATGCTGGACTTTCATACTTTTTTGTAAAACCTTGTTATACCGTGTTTTATGGCAATAAATAAAAATAAAAAAAAAGCAAACGTCCCAGCCCTTTTTAAAACGTAAACGTACGCCAAGAGAGTGCACCATTATAAATTGACATTCCCAGTAGTAATGAGTTTCCAGAAACTACTGTGAGCTTTAAATTTCCCAAAACCAAATTGGTGTACCAAGAAACTATCTGATAAATAGAATAGTGGAATCCACTTCACTCAATACCCACAACTGCAAAGCTATTCCCGCTAACAGAAGCAATTTTAAAAGAAATTTCCGACGTTCTCTGTAATCTTTTCCATCTTTCCTACGACGTTATTTGTTTGGGTTCAAAGTTGTTTTATGTAAATCATGTTTTCAACTGACGGACGTCGATGCCTGAACTGCTAGCAAATACTGAGTGTAATGACCTACGTCGGTCACGTAAACCCAACGATTTTTATAGAAGAATTGCTTCTTTCATAGTTCTGTCGCTATTTTTAAACTTTGTACTATTACTAGTGAAATAATAATACTGGAATCGGAAGGATTTTTCTAAACTAGATTATCTTTTTTATCGAAGTCGAGATACGTAATAGCGTTTAAGACAGCCTGACTTGAAGTTTTTGAGTGAGCGAGGTTACCGGAGGCCCAATCCTTCCCCTCCCCCAATCCCTCCCAAATCCCTAAATCTCCAAATCTCTAATCCCTAAAAGGTCGGCAAAGCGCTCGCATCTCCTCCATTGCGGGGTGTCCATGGGCGACACTGATTGCTTACCAGGTAATGCGCCTGCTCGTTTGCCGACCTATTACATAAAAAAAACAGGATTGTCTATCCAGGAGGTATATATGATATAATATTATGACCAGGGCAAAAAGTAGCATATGTGCTCTTCCAGATGTATTTACGTAAAATGACCAACGTGAGGATACCCGAACTTCAATTTCTATTTATAAGTTCAAACTTCAAAGTTTCACTTTGAGTGAGCGTGGTAATTTATCTTCAAATCCGCATGCAAGAAGTGGCTTGTTCAGTCTGATTATGACGACGATCTTTGATTAAAGGATTATTATAATTAGTGACCGAACATAGTACAAAGTCTCTGAATTGATCTAGGTATTTGATTTAGTAGAGTTAATGTCTAAACCTATTGTTTCCTTATTGCAGACGCTGAAGGTACAGGTGGCGCGGACCTGCAGCGCAAACTGGACCTGCTCAACGGCACGCTGGACGCAGAGAGAGCCGAGCAGGCACGCAGGCAGATGCAGTACATTGCTCATTGTGAGTATTTTCGTTACTGCCCTTGAAATACCTAAGGGTGCTCATTTTAATTAATATAATAATATGCTAATATTTATTTATATGTAAGTATTCATCATCATCACCTTCATTGACACGTATCCGTCCACTGCTGGACATAGGGCTCCCCAATTAAACGCCAGTGAGCTAGATATTCTTTATTTATATTTTTTTTATTACTTCAAATAATCAAGGAAATCCCTCGACTGTCGTCCGGCTCCATCACCAGGTCGAGTTCGACCATCGGCAAGTTGCAGCGTTGTAAAAAGCCTACTAAAACAACATGCAAAAGCACTACTCGCCCCTACAATTTTCGAAAGCTCCCCTCGGTTTCTCTAGGATTCCATCATCAGAACCAGACTTCATAAAAATGGGACCTCCCGGGAGTATAACCTTTCAAACAAAAAAAGAAATTTGGAAATCGGTTCATAAATGGCGGTGTAAACGGTGTACAAAAAAAAAACAATCAGCCGAAAATAGTACCTCCTCCTTTTTTTGAAGTCGGTAAAAAAAGTTGCTGCCGAACAGAAAAATATTCCAGACTATATCGTGCTAATAAATATTTTGTAACAACCAAAACAATACTTTAACTCAAAATTAAAATCGGAATTAATTAACGAAAGTTAACTAATCTAAATCATTTTACTAGCAGAGAATTCAATCAAATTTCATTGTATGAATATAATTAATTTAATTCCCTGCGCTACAGCGAACCATTTCAATACTATAGAGCTATGTACTCGTAATACGATTGACAGCTTAATGCATAAGCAAGAAGCTTAGACTGTATCAATCTAGGTTGTAATATATAGCTGTAATAGAGCCGTATGATTAATTTATGGACTGATTATAATCAGTTGGTACAATGGACTGTAAGCCGATTTAGTTAATCATTGTATAGTGACAAGTTACTAGATAAGAGTATGCTAAGATAGTTTCTGCTTTAATGGTGTGATGGACGAAAATAGTATGCATAATGAGGAGGAGCCATGCTTTGGTACGAATGAAGTGACTCAAACGCAGTCATACCACAACCCCACAGTGCTATCATGAACTGGTGTGAAACAGCACTATGGTGCGTTTTGAGGTCAAGGTGAGATTCTGTACACTCACCATTCAATTTCCCATCACCAATCCCAAAATCTCCAATTCCCTTATCCAAAAAGCCAAAATGTTGGTGTTTTCTATTCATTTTATCTGTTTAACCTGGCATTCTTGAAATTGAATACACTTCTAATCTCTAAATGGCAGATTCTAAAATTCTCAAAAGGCCGTCATGGCATTTAATTTCGTCATTTGTCCATGGGTGGTGTCGATTGGTTATCATGAGCACGGAAGGACATAAAGTTCAAGTAGACAAAGCTGTTATACACATGTTGCTCGAACCAGTTGCTAGGTATGTTTAGCCTAAATCTTTAATATTACTTCAATTACAGCGGGGTACTCAGAGGATTCGGACTACACGTCTGACCTCAACTACCCAGTGGGGCAGCATGCCAACTGCAGCGCATCACAATTCCGAAGCGCTGCCCACCAGATGCACACACCTCAGGTAAATTGTTATATTTTCAGTGCAATTTACACTATCCCTTTTACATCATGTTTACGATAGTCGTAAATATGAATAGATGGATGAATGGGTTTTTGTTATGATGTTATGTTAAATTTTGATGTCGAGTTAGATTATGGGCAAAAATATTTTACTTAGGCTATTTTTTACCCTACTGTAAGCTACTGGCAGAACCTAGTATAATACTTTGAGCAAGCAACATCAATCGTGCAAAAAATGATAATAATATTATTTCTGATTAATATGCATTGTTGGGCGAGACTCTGCAAATTGTTTGGGTAAAAGAAGCAGAATAATTTATTTGAAACTTAAAAAGTTGCCAAATATTAGTTGGTTTCAGTGACAAAAAAAGTGTTCCCTAAATAACAAATGGTTTTCCTAATTCCAGAGATCATTGGAGGTATCTCGTGAGAATTCGTACGAGAGAGACGAGTACCACATACACGGGGACACCGACCCGTTGTACTACAACAGTCAGCCGCGAACCAGGTAAATGAATTCAAAAGTCTAAGCCAAAACGCTTTTTGACTATTTGGTTGGCGCATTGCCTTGTTTGGTTCTGGGAAGTAAATGGTCTCTGTGTACTCCACAAAATTTTGTTTCCAGTTGTTGTTTGATATATCATTCGGCCGGGGTTGCGGGACAAGCGCAAAAGGCACCGCGGCCTCGGCCTAAAGTAGGAGAAGGAACCACGGTTTTAGTCAGTAAAAAAGTAGATCCTTAATTGAATGGGCCAGATTGTTAAGCATTTTTGAAAAAAAGAGAGATAATCTAGTTGCTGTTTTCTTAATGCAGGAATCTAGTCCATACGACTAGTAGGCATAGTTATTAGTTTCCAGCGAAAGGCCTTTTTGTGGTGGTTTATTGACTCTTTAAGGCGCGCGCGGTTCTGGTCGAGCGGCGAGCTACTCTTATTCGCCCTCTATAGACACGCACGTAGAAAAAAGACAATGTTTAATTTTTATCAGAAACTTTAAGGTTAACAGAAATGTTATGATTCTAATGTTTCTTTTATCAATTCCAGGATAGACACGTGGTCTCAGCTCCATGCTCAAGTGAGTGTGGAGTCAGCGATATCATGGCGGACCGCGGCTGACTGGCAGTCCGGGGGTAAGCACAGAAATCAATACTAATAATATAAATGTATTAGATTCAATGATATTTCGAAGAACACGTTCAAAAAAAATTACTTTAGATGGCAGTTTTGGCAGACCTAACAGACTGACAAAGTAGAGAATAGTTTGAAAAATTAGGCGTTACGTATTTAGCAAATAGCTGTAGGCCTACCATGACGTGTTAAAGCGTGAATCTTCCGGGCGAGAAAGAGGGCTAGATGGATATCACTTATCATATATCATAGTGTCATAGTAGGCCCTCTGTTCCCTGCGGTTTCACTTGCTCAGTTTATAGTCTATGTTCACCGGGAATAATGTAGCTTTCCAACTGTGAAACGATGTAAAGGTTTTCAAATCGTTCAAATAGTAAACAATCAAGTGTGGGAGAGCCATGCTTCGGCACGAATGGGTCGGCTCGACCGGAGTGATACCACGGCCTCACAGAAAATCGGCGTGAAACAACCACAGTGTTGTGTTTCGCCGTGTGAGTGAGGTTACCGGAGGCCCAATCCTTCCCCTTCCCAATCCCTAAATCTCCAAATCCCTAATCCCTAAAAGGTCGGCAACGCACTCGTAACTCCTCCGTTACGGGTGTCCATGGGCGGCGCTGATTGCTTACCATCAGGTAATCAGTATGCTCGTTTGCCGACCTATTACATAAAAAAATAACAAATTTTTCCTCTTCATACTATTTATCATCATCATCATTTGTGTTAGAACACATATTAGAATATAGGTAGTTGTTTTATATAGCATAAGAAGGGTACAAAATATTTAAAGTTCATAGTTTTCTCCAAGTTGTTTGTTAGATACTGCTGATAAAGGGTGTAACGAAAATTAGAACATTAAGAAGCAGCCCTGAACCATTCTACCGATCAATTTTTCTTAATCTTTTCGTGTGCGAGTATTGTTTTTTGTCCTGTCTATAGACTGATTTATTTTAAATCTGTTTTTTTCGTTTCGACAGAGGAACAGCGCCGGCCGAGTCTTGAGCGTCAGAACACCCTGTATGATGATAACATGTATGGGTTCGAGAGCTACCCTGGCATCACGCACACTAGGTATGATCTCACACAGTCTTATATACATACATAACTCTAGATTAAATTTTATACCTTTATTTTTAGAATTAGTACTTGGTCTATTTTTTTTTGTTACTGAAACGTTGCCCCACACTAGGATTTTCTCCTGTGTCGTGGGTGCGTTTACAAACATATAATTTCACATGCACATCACACCCAGACCCGGAACAACAATCTGTGGATCACACAAAGAGTTGTTCCGTGCGGGAATCGAACCCGCGGCACGTTGCGCGGCAGCCAGTTGCCCAGCCACCGCGCCAACCGTGCAGTCTATTATATATTATATCCTACATTAGGATTTGTTCTTAAGACATAATGATTAATGGCCTTAAAGACATTAAAATTTACTACTTAAAAAAAAAATTTTGCTCAACCGGAAATATTTTTAAAACAATTAAGTTTCTAAAATAATCACTTTTTCATGCATTGGTTATTATTTGATATGCCACATTTTTGTACACGGAATCAATTTATGAAAGCATGTTGTATGACGCAAGAACATCATGTTAAGTTTTCGTACAAAATTCATAGTTTATTTAAATTAAACTATAGTTTTTAATGTTTTAATAAAGATGTTGAATTTGACTAGTTGTCCGTAGTTGACCGTATAATCAGTGTCTGTAGAAACTTATGTTACAACTAAACATTGCGTTGTTTAATGACACGAAAAACCATTTTCTTTTTCAGGGACCATTTAGCACAACAGCAGAGTTATGAAGAGTACTACGACTCCACGAGCTATCATTACCAGACTTCGTACGTTGGGGACGACTCCAGGCAATGGGACAGTGGAGGGCAATACTTCTATGATGACGGGCATGGCTTAACTCCAACGGAGTATGAAAACATCGTTAACAAGAGGAGATCTTCTGTTGTTCAGTTGCCGCAAGTGCCGCCTAAACCGGTGAGATTTTAAATATACTTAGAATTCAATTGGTTAGGCTTTTTTTAATTTATTTTGTTTTCCACAGTTAGCTTATATTTCTTCTATCGAAAGACTGTAGAGCATAGATTGCAATCAGGAATAATAATAATAATATTCTTTATTGTACACCACATTAACACAAAGGACATCAAAAATATAAATAAAGTGTATAATGGGCGGTCTTATCGCACAAGGCGATCTCTTACAGACAACCTTTGGATGGAGCTGTACCTAATAGAAGTCAGATAGGGGTCGTCTAGTGTACAATTTAATGACATTTAAACTATAATACGTATAAATATATATAGATATGTATATACCTCAGGAATATCTATCAGGAAATTGCAATCTGTTTCTGTATTAGTTTTTTTTATGTATGTATTCTGTACGAGTCTACAAAAAAGAAAGATATGATACATTATCGTATATAAATATGCTACACTGAATATATGTAATTAAAGAAAGACATAATATAAAATAAAAAAAAGAAGTGTGCTACAATTTTAGACTTCGGTCTCTTACTGAAATTTAGGAAAAATGGAGTAAGTAAATGGAATGGAATCCAATAATGCTCTATATTATCGGCAATGCCAATTCTAAACTATATTAAGCTTAGCTAGAGCTGCGGGCAAAGCCCAATGATGTACAGCCGGATCGGATCTTGAGATGAAATGGCATGGCTTTTAGTCAGAAGACTCAAGAGCAAAAGCAGTTGGAAGTTTGTCCTAACTCAAAAATAGTCTATATTACAAGCAGTTATAACTATTTGTTGCTGTGGGTGTCCATAGGGTTGCTGTTTGCTTACCATTCCTCAGTTCAGTTCACCATCCTTCAGTTCGTTTTCCTACCTTACACTTTGGAAAAGCACCTTTATTAGAATAAGCATATGGTTAATATATTATTTGTAATTCTGTTTTAGTTGGTGCCATCATCAAGGTACTCAGATTACAATGAGATGGCACCATACAGGCCGCGGCCGCGGAGAACTGCTGCAAGTCTTCCAGGTAAGTGAAAAACACAGTTTTTGCTATAAATGCTGATCTATTATTTAGCTATTTTTTATAGTCTCTACCATGAGACATTTATAGAAATTAACGACTTACTCACGTGAATTACTGAGTAAAGTTTTATTAGTTTCAATTCGCAATTACTGGAGTCTTATTAATGAGCAGCATGCGCATTGAATTTACGTGAGTTCGTCGTAATTTTTAATAAATGTATTATTTGCTGTCGTAATATACTCGCGCAAATATTTTGCGATATAATTTGCGGTTGAATTTTGAAGTGAATGACTCTTAAAAATAAAGCCTAGCCAGTTGGATGGGTCATAAAAGAAAAATAAAACTTAAGACTGTTTCTTTAAATCAACTACTGAGAATGTTATTGATGCAGTCTTTTACCTTGAAATGTAAAAAAAGTTAAACAAAACCATAGCTATGTTTTGTTCGAAAAAAAAAGGAAATCTATTCCAATTACTCTGTCTACCCAAAGCTGTTGGAGTTGAAAGGAGAAAGAGGAGCCAAGGTTCAACAGATGGAGACAGCAAGAGCTAAAATGCAGGCTTATCGTGAATCAATGTGCTTTATTTCAGCTACCCCGTCATCAACCCCTAAGCGAGGTCGTGCACTACCAGTGCCCCCTGGCAGTGAGTCGGGGTCGACACGAGGCAGTCGCGGCCGCCGCCTACCCCAGCCCCCTACGCCTATGTCGTCATCGATGACGTCATATGGCAGCTTCTCGCGCCCCAGGCGCGCGCCTTCCGCCTCCACGCTTACGCACGTGCCTTACGTACCCGGTGAGACTGGCTTACATTGTCTATACCAATTACACATATAATTTTCCATATTTATCTTTGTACTTACCATCTACCAAACTAATAATTACAGAGAATACAGTATAATATAATTTTCAAAAAGTAATTACCTATAATTGTTGACACAGTAATGATATGAAATTATGAAGAAAGTTAAGAGAAACTTACAATTATAGAGGTTTTGATTACTTATTAAGGTTCCGTGTGCAAAGAGTAAAAACTAAAACCGCTGAAAGTCAATCAATGTATCTGTCTCTCACAAAGCTCTCTATCACCCCATGAACCGTAATAGGTAGACATGAGAAATTTAGTCAGATAGGTGTTGTATTTTTGTTGTTCTTGTAAGAAAAAACACTTAAAAAACTCGATGTAAAATAAAAATTTAAGAGGAGCTGCGGTGCAATAAAATTGATTTTAAAGATTTTGATTGATTCAACAATCGTGCGGAACCCTTGGAGCGTCAGTCTGACTTGCACCATAACATAATTTTGCACCGAAATTCTCAAAAACAGATGAAGTTTAGGTATTAGAAACTAAAGTAAAAGCTGTTCTGGAGCTATGCAAAAAAATAATAATAATTCAAACTTATGCTGTATGTAATTCTCTGCATTGTGTACACACTGATAGGTACTATATAAAAGGCAATTCATTGAATAAAACAATAGATACGTTATTGACTTCCTCATAAGGTTTATTTTATCTTACAGAACCTGAAAGAACTATACCTGATGCGAGTTATGGTTATGATAGCTTCGGGTTGCAGCAAGACTTTCAAGACACTGCCACAGAACCCTACCAGGAAACTAGTTATAATAATACAACGTAAGTATTTGACTAAACCGTCAATAAAACTCATCATTCAATTTATCTGATTCCATTATTTGCGATAAAGATCATGTTTTTTATGTGATAAGTCGGCAAACTAGCAAACGGATTAACTGATGACACCTGCAACGACGGAGGAGTTCCGAGTGCATTGCCGGCTTTTTTGGGATTAGGGATTTAGAGATTTTGGGAATGAGGAGGGATTGGGGTAGGGGAAGGATTGGGCCTCCGGTAAGCTTACTTACACGGCGAGACACAGCGCTGTGGTTGTTTCACGCCGGTTTTCTGTGAGGTCGTGGTATCACTCCAGTCGTACCGACCCATACGTGCCGAAGCATGGCCATTAAGTATTCCTGGATAATCGCACAATCCCCATATTCCCATAAAATGTTAATGTTCGCTTAATTTTTATTATAATTCTTTGAAAAGATAACTGTCGCGAGTGGTAGGCCACGTTCACCAGAAACATTACTTTGTTAATATAAGCAATTACATCATGACATCATCATTAAAAGGATGTCCATGTATTTAGTAGGTATGGCAAGTAAAGCAGATAATAGTTATTATTATTTCTAGAAAAAAAAACCTCATTAATAGTGACCTAATTATAATCATATCGGTACGTGAATCCCAATGATAACGCAGTTTACAGATACACCCACGAGATCTAAACGTTTCTTAGTAATAAAATGAATGCTTTTAACGCTAATTACTTTTTACCTACAAAAACTATGTAGCTCGCCCTGTTAATGAGTTTACTGGAGGCCAAAACCATCAAAATCCTAATGCCAAAACTGAGGAATACAAGACTTCTGGTATTGATTTAGTCTTGAATCTCGTACTAAATTTACAAAACAAAATAACAGCAATAAATGTTTTTTATTTCATATAATTTTTTTTTGTTAAAATTTTCTCATTTTTTGTTTGTTACAGATATGATTCAGATGGTATGCAACCTTTCTTTGATGAAACGCCACACGCTACTCCGCCTGCCGCTGGTAAATATTAATAATAGATCTTTAAAGATTTATAAAAAAAATAAAGTTTTAAGAATGGATAAATAAATGCAATGCTATATATCGGTTAGCATATTCTGATATTAAAATGGTGTCAATGTCAACAGAACAAAACCGAGAATTTATATTATATATTAAAAATGATACATTACATAAAAGATAACAACTTCCGCCGCGTGGACGTGAACACGTTTAGTTTTATTATAAAAATCAGTTCTTTTTAAATCGTAAACATGACGAGCCGTTTCATAGACTATTTGTGTGGTGAATTTACATTTAATATTTACAACGTTTTCTTTCATATTCCAGCTCAAAAAACGCCTTGGACCGAAACCGAGACAATACCAAAGTTCACGTATCCCGTTACTAGTGAAAGCGATTCGTTGTTACCGAAAACAGTGCCATCAACAGTTTCTTCTTATTTACCTCAACCACCAGTAACGAGTCAACAAGATACCTACCAAACCCAAAGTTATCAGTACGAAAATCAACAATACGATTCACAATACGAAGGTCTACAGTATCAGTACGAACAGCAAGACCAACAGTATACAAAACAAAATCAGTACGAAGACAAACAGCAATACCAGCAGGACTACCAGTACGATTCACAATTTGAATCGCATTACCAAGAGGAAGAAAAACAACCAGTTTCCCATCAGCTGTACACACAACAATTTGAACAAGATCAGCAATACTACCAAGATCAACAGTATTTACAACATTCTGAACAACAAGCCAATCAACTACCCTATCAACAGCAGCAGCAACAACAACAGCAGCAGCAGCAACAACAGCAGCAGCAACAACAACAACTACAGTTGCAGCAGAAAAAGACCCAGCAGCAACAACAGTTGCAACAGCAACAACAGCAGCAGCAACAACAAGCTAAACAACCAGCACAACAACTGCAAACGACTGTTTTAACTGGTGCTGCAACATTGGGCTCATTTATGGCGGGTAGTGCTAAGAAATTGGGAAGCCTTTTTGGAGCAGCTGCAGCAGCAGTTGCGGCTCCTGCTGTAACTCAGCCTCCTCACACTACTCCTGCAACGACAGCTCCAACAAGCCAGTTTTCTTCATCAGTAGCTCCTGTAACCCAAATCAGTAGTGCTGTGCCGGTAACAACATCCGTCCTTTCCTCCTCCTCTTATCCGTCATCGGATATGTCGCCGTCAGTGCATGGGTCTCCCGTGACTATATCATCATCAGCACCCGTTTCTTTACCGCGAACTCCGTCTCTCAGAAGACAGGAGTCCATACAAAGACCTTCGGTGCGTCGAATTCGGACGTTACCAGACGCACCCGAAGACTTAGCCCAGTCGAGTTTCGAAGAAAGTGCCTACGAGGACGAGTATCATAAGACTGAATACGATCAATCAATAGACCGCGATAGGACTTCTTTGGACAGGTATCGTGATGATGACTACGCTCATGATACCATCCTCGAAGAAGTCCCTGAGGAGAGGCGTTTGTCGGATGTACCGCCAAGCCCTATCTTGCAAAAGCAAGCGTCTCCGACGAGGACTGTGGCTCAAATAAGGAAACCGTCAGTTGACAGCTATCACAGTCAAACGCCGTCGATTGTTGATCGTAGAACCTCGCAAAGTTCTTTTCACCCTGAAGAGAAGCTTGCTGTCCCTACTACACAAGAAGGTAATTGTATTATGTATTGATCGTTTTCATTGTATAGGTTTTTATAATGTTACAGAAAACTCTTATTTCACCCTTATCATAATATTTTTTTGTTCCTATAAATATTACGAAACTTGTGATTAATACCTACCTAGTAACATTCAGAAATGATTATTTGATTTGCTCTCGTAAAACCTGAAATTGATATTGTTCCGTTTATTATTATTCCAACAACTACAGCCAAACATAATTCCACAGAATCACTCACGGACAAATCTAAAGTCACGTTCCAAGACGAGCGCACGACCTATCACGAGGTACCTGAAGAGACTGACGGCTTCCAAGAAGCTGAACCTTATGACGACCATGTTGAGGAATACAATGATGACCATGTGTCATATACTGACAAAAATGAATCGTTTAGGGAAGAAAGAGACAAATTTGATGACCAGGAGCAATTCCAAGAGGCTGATGAGCCGTATCAAGAGGAAGACAGTGTGTTCCGAGAGGAGCAGGAGAGACCAGAGGAACAGCCTGAACAGCCAAAGTTGACTCCTCGGCAACGATGGCATCGAGCTTACAATAAGATTGTTATGCAGCTAAACGTGAGTACTATTTTCAATTACAACGGTGGATGCAGAAAAATGTTTTTATTCGTTTTTACAATTTATTATTTATTATTTTTTCTTTAATTTTTTCTTTCTCTTGTAAACAAATTTTTCTTTTATTTCTTTTACATTTTGTTCATTTAAAAGTATTGTTTTATTTATTATTTATTGATGTTCTTTTTTTGTTTTTTACGACATTTATCATTCAGAACAGAACTGTATGATACTACATGATATCACCAAAAATTTGCATCCATCGTCGTTTCAGGATTTTTATAATTATTTTTGTAACATTTTTTTACCATCATGGAGAATTAACGCTCGCTCTCGATTGATAAGGACCAGGTAAGTCATTTGTAACATTCGAAGCAATGTTTCGCGTACATTGTCCCAATTCAATATCATTCAAATACATATTAAGCAGTACAATTAGAAAACTGAAGTTATACAAAGGATTTTCTTTGTTAGGGTTTTATGATAGGGTGTCTTTTTCAGTGAACAATTTTGCGACTTTAGTAAATTTTATGTGAACCAGTTTTATATGTTTAAAAGGTGTTTTATTCTGTATTACTTGTATATTATCAAAGTGTAATGAATATGCTTATTGACTGAAATATGTGCGTTATACATTTCTTTCTTTTTATCTTTTTAGAACGAATTTACTTTCTCTACTTATTTCAGTGATGTCATTTAAATACTGTTGAAAGTGTTTACGTCATTACTCGTTAATGTGTCTTCTTTAAAATCTAAAAGTATTTTTATACAAGAAAACTACGTCGAATATTATTAACAATTTCTTAGACATGTTTTTTTTTAAATATTCTACTACTAACCTATCCTAAAAACTAACTAAGTATAAGAATGAAGTACATTTATCCAATTCCAGATTTTATGTAAATTTGAACAGTAATGCAAATTGATACATAATACGGATTTCAGTTGAGGAGCTGATGCTTAAGTAATAGACCTCGTACAAATAACAAAATTAACCTACTTCCCTCAAAAATTCATATGACACTACGGATAAGGGGCAAAATGTACCACTAAAAGTGTCTGGCGCGGTAGGGGTTAACCCCCCACTGCTATATAGCCTTCCTGACGATTTAATGGACATACTAATTGTGTCTAACCATCCATTGGGTAACCAAAGTGATATAGGCTGGCGAGGGTTAGAAAAACTGCAGTAAATAATAATGAATTTTATCGTCTTTTGATTGACGAGCCAATTTGTAGGTGATTTACGTAATTTTATTGGTTGCTTAGTTAATCGGTGACGTCTAAGAGAATACAAAGATTTCGTGAGACATTTAAGATTTCTATGTTTTAATAAAAGTTAGATACTATTTTTTAGTGCTTCATAAATCTTAATAATAGGAACAATTCATCGTTACGTTAAAAACTTGTTATAACTAAAATTCACTACGATTATGATTAAATATTTCCTTGAAAAATGCATGAATCAACCAAGGTACCTACATTTTTTTTACTAATTGATTATCTTACTTGTATAAATAATTGATACTTATGTTTAAAACCTTTCACAACTAAACTCCACCAAGATGATGGTGAAACTGTTCCTGCCAAAACTGCGACAAAGTTTTAGAATTAACCAATTTAACAAGTCACAGTAATTAACATATTATTACACATACTTCGGAAACTGCTCAGGTTTTGCAGTCTAAGCATTATTATTTCTCTGAACGTATAAAATAAATGTTCAAATAAGTTGGAACGAAGTGCAAAATCTTGTTTGCACTGACGCAGCTACACTTGTGCTGTTACTCCACCCATGTGCACTAATTATATCTATATGTATGTACAATACGCCGCACTTTAAATTTCGTGAACTCAAAACACCTTTATGATAAGTTCACTTTACATTTGTATGTTTTCTTTACAAAAACATTTTTCCAAACCACACTAAATATTTACTAATAATAGAATAGAATAATTTATTTAGGTAGAATGTAGGTTATTAATACTATTGGGTATTACACTATTTTTAATTCTTATAGATTTAGCCTCACGACAACCAAAATTTTGGTATTAAAAATAAGCCGACTATAATTAGGTACTTCTATTAAATTCACATTTATATGCTAAAAAACTCACCAATATAATTAAGTGTCCTTAACCTTACCTACTCAAGCAGTGATAATAAAACGAAACGACACATTCTACAAACATTTAAGTAAACTAACATTAGACAAATTCTACATTAGAACAATAATCCTACTGCACAGTGGAGCAACTGAACTTTAATCCAATGCATTACGCAGTGCGCAAATAGTGCAAAGTCCTGTACCCTACAGTTACAAGACAAACGCATATAGAACTAGTGTTGTGCTTAACGCCCCACTGTGCTCGAGTAGGCATAATCAAAATGGAGGAAAGAGAAAATGGCTAAATGTTGTTACGCGGCCTTCAAGTGATCGGATCTGACCTTGAACGTAAATGGGACTCGATACATGAAAGCTTGGGGAATGAAATATGTATTAGTGTATGTTGATTGACCTGTGAAATGATCTATATAAAGCAAAACATTCATCTGATACAATATCTAATACGTTTGTGACATAACACGTATATTAAAATGGTTTAAACATTAGTCAAAAATATGTTCAAACCTCCTTTTTTCGTTACTTGAGTATAATGATACAAATATTGGATACCGTCGCCTATTTTACCCGTGACATTTCATTAATTTTTAATTTAAAAATGGAACATGAAACTACAGATATAAACAATACACACACTAAAAACTTAACAAAGCGTACCCATAGCTATCTTAGACTTACGAACAGCATTATTATCACGCTAACATTGCTACAAGCTTACTCTACTAGCGAAGTTCTACAGTCGAGTAGTTGTAAACAGTCCACTAGATGCGAGCAAAGACTTCAGTCCAGCAATAACTATACTATCCTGTGTTGTTACTATCCAAGTCAATGACTTAACTTCGTCCGTAATCGTCTTAGATACAGGATTAGTTCGGTCGTTGTTGTGTACAAAGCTCAGACGCGACATAAATGTGTTTATTTTTAAACTAGAACTCGTAAAAGTAAGATAATGTGGTTTTAGTTGGAACTTTAATGCATTCGAATTTAGAGTTTAGAATTGAGAGTTTCAGTAAGCGATTTTACAATTCAAAATAAGCTTTATAGCTAGACTAATAATATGTGGTTATTGATTTATTAGTGTCCCATTTCATTTAGATTAAAGTTGTCTAAAGGGCCTCTGCGCAGTTGGCTCCGGCCCCTCGTACGCCTTCCAAATGACCGGGACCCAATCACGGGACCACACCGTGATTGGTAAAGATAAAAAATATAATGTTTTGTACCTTCTCTATATTTAGCCTTGATTGTGCACATGCATAATACCTATATAACTTACTTGCTACTCTCGCGCGGTTACGCCCGCTGCTCAGCTCCATTTGATCATAGCGTGATGCTTTATAGCCTATAGCACAAAGGAACATTATAGCTATCTATCAGTGAAAGAATTTTGGCAATCCGACCAACGGTTCCAAAGATTATCCCCTACATACAAACTTACATACCTCTTCATAATATTAGTATAGATGTATGCGGCCTTTAATCAAAGTTTCAAACAAAGATTATGTGGTGCAAACATCGTCGGACTCTGGGCAGTTTTAATTGCCCTACATTTGAAAGCTGTTCCTTCCTCCTTAGATATATTAATAATTATATCCCATTTTAATTAATGTCTATTCAATTAGTTTCTACGTGGAAGATACTATATAGTTTAAACTATATTATTACAGAATTACAAAAGGTCTACATAAATACAATAATGAAAAAAATGCAGCACTTATTTAAAAATAATTCCGAACACCGAATAGGACAAAATCATTTGAAATGAATGTGCCCATTCATTTCAAATGATTTTGTCCTATTAATTCACAGTTCTAATTTCAAATATTAAAAAAGGGCTACGGCAACTTGAAACATAAAAAAAAAAATAAGAATGATCGGACGAGCCTCTTTTGTTCTCATTACTCACGGTCGAATGACTGGACTTTAAAAGAGGTATATATACGTAAATGAGTTTATGCATGTAGTATTTACACATTACATTTATTTTAATACAATCCATTTATAATAGGTATATTTTGTGTAGTCTTTAGTTGTAGTGGACAGTCTTGGATAACGATAGAGTATCGCAGAAGAAATGATGGTAATTCTTTTAAACTATTTTCTGACCCTACATTCCTATATACCTACGTATAATAGGTATGCATCTACGTGTCAACGATCATTTATTTTCATAATTTGACTTTAAAATACCTACCCTATCAACTAAAAAACTATTTAAAAGTATAACAGAAGAGATTGGTCAAGTTTGCGTGAGAGAGTTTTCGATTATTTGTTCATTTATGTTTGTCTTTATTTCGTGTTATGTAATGTTATGTTAACATTATTCCTAACAAACTACTTTTGTAATAAAATACGTAATTTGATCGCGAAAAATAAATATTGATATCCAATATTCCAAAACCTAATGTTTGACCGAATTTGGTTTTGTAAATATTGTGTATGTTATTTGAACATCAAATGAAGTTATTTCGTTTAGAAGAAGAGATTGTTTGCTACAAAACAATTGAATTTGATGTTTATATACAGAGCGACCTATTTTCATTCTATTTGTAACAGTTATAAGCGATTGTGGGCATAGAAATTTAATGAATATAGGAAAGAATCGGTAGGTGAATATTATTTAGGAATGTAACAGGAATATGCGTTCAAAAATTATCTAAAAATAATAAAATATTTTACAATAGCACGAACAATAGATACAGAAGAATACCAAATAGATTATAATAATATAATTATAAATAGTACTTTTTCTTCAAAAAACGTAATCGTAACTAAGTATAACCGGTTATCGAATAAAAATGAAATCGATTTAAACACTCAATGAATTTCATTAACATATTCAATAGGTACGTAGTGATTTACTCTGAAAGCCGGTCCGGCTGCTGATTGGCCTGAACAATCTACGTAATTGATTGAACTCGTCTTAAGGAGGGCTACTCGTAAAATACACCCTCCATTACCTTTGATATCATTAATTAATTCTTGCACACCGTTAAGAAGCGAAATTTTGTTAGGGAGACAGTCTTATTTCATGTCTAGATTATTATCAGCATTACTTGAAGAAATTTTCAAGAACGTCAAAAGCTAGATTTAAGCCAGGATCGTGTTAGGTACCTTTTCATTGGTTCAGTGACTCGAAAAGTGTTTGGGATTCCATTTCATCTGAGTATGGGATTTTTCAAGGTCATGTTATACAAAGTGTCGCTTTTAAATATGTACAATTATTCCTATTCCCTTTGCACTGCGTCAATAAGGTCCTTTTTCAAGTAAATTATCAGTTTGAAACTGAATCGGTACGTATGTAATATATAATGGCAAGCGCTATCTCTCTCTCAGAATAAAGAAAGGAGAATGACATCAAAACATATTGACATACCCATTTTGCTATATTGATACAGTCAATTCATGTTTGAGTGTTTGTGAATTTCCTCGTTTATATGTTGACAATTTAGTCACCGTTAAACATGTCTTCCTCAGATATACATCACGATACATATTATCAGCCTTGAAGTGCTGCTGTGCAAAGGCCTCATCTCACATGGAGAAGGTTTGAGCATTAATCACGCTTGCTCAAGGATTGACGGTTGAAAACTTGAAATTAGAAATAATAGGTCTGAGTTTCCTCACGAAATTTCCCTTCACTGTGTCGGAAAAGTCACATTGGTACTTGTCAGGTTTTGAACCATCATACATGAGAAGCGGGTTCTCTGACCTCAGGGTCATCACAACTTATAGGCAGACACGTAACATAAAATTGTTTACTGATTGTTAATTGTTTTAATCACTCGGAGTTGGTTTGTTTTTGTATGAAAATATAGATCAATTACCTCAGTAAAGATTATGATGGATTGACTGATCCAAGTGCAGTTTAATCCATTGCTTTATTGAAACAAAGTAATGAATCAAAATGATAAAAAAAACTATTGAATATTGTATCTAATTGGGTGCAAAGTTTTAACGTCACATTATTTTACGTCGAGAATTTTAAAACTAACTTTCAAATAAAATCAATCAACTACATTATCGTCAATTTGATGTATACTAAAAGATATTTTTGTGGAAAATGTGTTATCTGATTTATCATTGTTTTTTTGAAACCAGAGACAATTTTATCAGTTTTGATGTTTCTATTCACTGTCTTTTCAGTCTTACGTAAACTTATTTTCATACTAAAATGAAGTTCTTTAAGTAAATTACATATAGCTAATATTTGTTGTTGATTAATTATCATGTTCAACTGAGCTCAGCTTATAATACCTAGTAATATGCCTACTTAAAATTATATTAATTATATTTGATTTACTGAATGTAGTTTGAAAATCTACTCTCAAATTCATAACGTCTTAATATTAATATTCATTTTGAATAGTTCTTAAGTAATTCTGTACACAAATATATGGGTTTCAGTAAACTATCTTGTAATGTAATCTCATTATTAATTCCATCTACTTAGAGACAAATGTTGACTGAAATATTTCGATGAAATGAAATAAAATCAACCTTATTTACTTTGTATTTATAATTCAGAACTGGTTATTGATAAAAATATACAATTCTTAATAAATTCGTTGAAAATTGTAATTGAGTACCTACAATATATTTATCGTTTCGAAAACAAAAGAATTTTTTGAAAGAATAACATTACGAACGAATACATTAAAATTTTCCTTTGTTTATATTGCTTGCGGCTGATTGTGGAGAAGACTTCCAAATTGTGCGTATCCCATATTTTAAACGTGTACAAATTTAGTAGGTTATTTTTTAGGTTTGTTTTCTTTTTGGCTCTGTCACTGTTCTTTGGAACTTGTAAAATAAATAGCGCAGCGGCGGTCGTCGCCTGCAGAAACCTCGGACGCCTTTGAACTCGATCAACTCATTAGTCCAGCTCACTTACTCCATACATACGCACATACGAAACTACGCGTTCCCGCTCAGTCCGTTAACAGACTTTGTTGCGTACGCACCCCTTCATAAAAATCAGAAGAAATTGGAAAGTGTGGTTCAGGGTACAATAACATTGCGCAAGAGATGGCGGCGGAAATTCACGAGGACGCGATAGCGACATCCTGCGGGCGACCGTGGCCCTATTGATATCACCTATCACTCGTTTGTATGCAAATTCTTCGTGCAGGTGTTAACGTTCAGTGTTGTTGTTGAAGTTGATGTGACATCACACGTTCGGAAAATGTTCCGGAGCAGGAAAGGGCAGGCGATCAGCGAGGCTGATGTCCGCCGGGAACAGGCGCTCGGGTATCAGAACCGGTCAAATGTCAGCGGTTCGCGCCTCCGCGTTCGTCGCGGGTCAAGTTTGACGGATTTGGACAAGTTGCGTTGTGGGGGAGGATCTAGCGGGGGTGGATCCATTGGGGATTTGATGAACATGTTTAGTGGTAGTGTTAATTCGGTCGGGAGTGATACTTTAGTCGCAAGGACTGTACCGTTGGAGACTGTTCGTCGCAATGTGCCTCCTGTGTCGGCCCCGCCGTCGCGGCCGCCTTCATCCCCGCATATCCATGTGTCTCGACCCGTGGGCCCACTGACGATGGCCCAGCGCACGTTAAGATTTAGCCGGCTGCTAAAGTACCAACCTTGTTCCGCCGACGTTCTCATTACTCTGGTGAGTGGTAACACTTACGTTTTATTATTATGGATTTATTGACTCGACTAATAAAACTTAATTTACTTCACGATAGAATTCTTTATGGTTGAACGTTGAAAAGGGAGATTTTGTACAAATAAGTTTTCCAAGCTTACAAGTGTTATTATCAGTCAAGTGCATATTTTTATCGGTCGTGAAAGCTTGTCAAATAGCCCTAACAGAGGATAATTGCGTTATTGTGCCATTATCAATTGATCATTTCGACATTATCTTAACAATGTGACACTTTGATAATGACGAAGTATTTTCTCGTATTTTTTTAATATGTCTGTGTGAAAATATGTTAAACAGATGTTTAGAAGCAAAAAGTATGTAAGCAAAGTTCAATGACCGCTTGAAGATAGCATTTAGTATAAAATATCGGATAACCTGCGTTTAGTGTCTGTTCACAAGAATTTATAGAAGCAATTAAAGTTTATAACACATCTTAGTTCATCACTGTTGCGTTTGTAATACGGTGCATAATGTATTGTATGTACATTTAAACTAGAGATGTTTTTTGGATTAACGTAATCCAGCCGAATAAATGAATGAATTTTCAGATGTATACCAAAAAACTAATAATAATAAAACACGACTATTTTTGCCATTGTTACTTATTAATAAAATACTAATTCTTTAGGAAATAAATGCATTTATTTTTTTATAACACAAAATAAATCTCTACCTACATTTAGTTAACAGTTTTATTCTAATTCTCGTTATAGTTTCCTACGCAAGCAATTACAATGATATCTAAATGACGTCCGTTTGATTCCCAAGTATATCAACTATTCTGAGTTAGATCGAAGCCTTTAAACTGCATTTTAAAAGTAAACCAGTAGTTCATAATTGAAATGTATACCACTGAAAATAAAGATCATTTTCACTATCACATACATTAAAAGCTTGAGGTAGCCATTCCCTTGTATATTATTTGATTCATCAAACCCCAAGTGATCGCCGGCGTTCAGCGTTAAAGATGATAATAAACATATAAATATGATTTTATTTTTGCTTTTTTTTCTGTTTTCGTAAAACATTGCCCCACTTTAGGATTTTGGTGCGTTTACAAACATACAATGTCACATACACATGACACCCAGACCCGAAACAACAATTTGTGAATCACACAAAGAGTTCTTCCGCGCGGGAATCGAACCGGCGACACGTTGCACGGCAGTCAGTTGCCCAGCCACCGCACCAACCGTGCAGTCGATGTATACATACTATTTATGTATTTGTCATTTTGTATTTATCAAAATGTTTCCATCAATTTTGTAACTTAGTTATCAAACATATATTAACCACCTATAAACAAATTAATTTGAAAAAAACAAATTATATTATGATTAATAAAGTCTCCTAGCAAAAATATCTTGAATAAGAATTAGTTTTTTGTCTATTTATATTATCGCAGTGACAATGATGTCAAGATGACAGACTCATAATAAGGAAATATACATAAATGACTTATATTTTGTTATAAAAATGGAAATAGTACATAAATAAATTAAATTACTAAAAATAATTATATTTTAAATACTAAATATTTAACATCAATTATATTTTAAATAATAATTTTATTATAATAACACAAAAATCGTCTTAAATTAAATAATTGCTTCATATATCTTTCTCAAAGTGAGCAATTTATTTTGATTCACTCATGGAAGTAGCGAGAAGGTGTTTTTCTTCGTGTAAATCTAATTGTAGCGTTCGAGGGCTTGTTATTCTGGTTGAATGTATGCCTAATAGCATGAGGATGGAATTGGGAAGTTCTTCAATGATTAGGTTCTTGTTAATGTTTTTTTCCGTAGGTATACATGGCTACACAACATGTAGCTAACCCGGTATAATGTGACCCTTAAATGTGAGAAAAAACCATACTTAGCGAAAGAATTGAATTTTTTTTTTGAAAATCTATGCTCTATTTTATTAATAATAACCTCCAAGTTTCCTCGCTATGTTTTCCTTCACCGTATACCAGTCATATGTAACGCATTATAATAAAGAATATGTTTGTAAAACTGATTAAAAAACCATCCGAATCTACACTTTGAAACGAGCACATAGCTTTCTAAGAGGTCTGACCGACAGACTGACATTAGTTCAACTTGTCAATGGAACAAAATGTAAAAATAAACACACTTCGATTGATTAATTTCACGATATTTTTCTAGTACTTATATTTAAAAAAATACGTGGTTTTTTATAGAAGACACATGTAACTAACATACATAATACCGTGCAAAATTTATGGAAATCTGTCGATTTTGGCTTCTCGAAAAACTGAAATATTTTGCCAGCTGTAAAATACTTAACTCATCAAAAGCTTCTAGTACGAGTATGTACGTAGAATAATAGTAGGTACCTAGTAAGCAAGCCGCATAAAATATAGAAAGATGGCGTTGACACTACATTGGCTGAAAACTCTGAACTGGGTTTACCGGAGTTGCTTTGCTAGTTCAAGCTGTATAAAATAGATGGCGTTAGCATACAAACTTTGCTCTTGACGCTACTTTTTCGTATTTGTATGTTTTGGTTGTATGAATCGAGTAACTTTATTTAGTCAGATAATGTTATGTAGTTTGCTGAACTCCAAGTAGTACTATAAATGAAAACAATACTAATATAATAGTATTTTCTACGATAAAATGTTTGTAACAAAAATGCAATTTAATCGGCGTCGTCATTAATTTCATTAAAACAAGTAAAACTCAATATGACTATGATAATAAACATCATCATCATCATCATCAGCCTATAAGTGCCCACTGCTGAGCAAAGGCCTCTTCTCACACGGAGAAGGTTTGAGCATTAATCACCACGCTTGCTCAATGCGGGTTGGCGATTTCAAACTTATAATTAGAAATTATAAGTCCAGGTTTCCTCACGATGTTTACCTTCACCGTTTGTCAGTGGTGTCTAAATAATCATAGAAAGTACATATAACCCGGAAAAAGTCACATTGGTACTTGCCAGGTTTCGAATCCACACCCTCATGCATGAGAAGCGGGCTCCTTAACCTCCGGGCCACCACGAACTCTGATATCTTGATAATAAACATTCTATATAATATCTAAATAAAAAAAACATATTTACATTTTTGAATATATATTTATTAACAATTTTAATGTGAACACACTGAACAAATTAATAAATCAGTATGTAAGAATAACATTTTTTTTAATTTTACACTTCCTGTTAGTAATCTGCATCTACATTCGTAATAACAAAAGTCCAATGTCGGTGACCTATTTTACTTTGCTCGCTGAAAATACAGTCTTAGACTATGTGTATGTTGAAATTCAATGAATCGAATCATTGAATAGAATAGAAAGCAATGCATAAGGAAGTAGTGACGTCACCGTCTGGCTCGAGATTTCATGGATTTTCAACTACTCTACAATTTTAATTCAATAGTTTTGTTTCGATTAAGGGATGAATAATATAAAATAGAATGTGTGATTATTATCAGAGGTAAATTATCCCCGAAGGAGGATCTATGTGACTTTTTTGGAGTTATTTGCACTTGAGAATGAGAATGTTTAGACACCATTGTCATATTACGATGAAGAAAAACATAGTGCGAGAACCTGATAATAATTCCTTATTATAAGATTGAAATCGATAATCTCTCTGGAGCAGGCGTGGTTATTAATGCTCATAATTTCTCAGTTTCAGAAGAGGCTTTTGCTCAGCAAGGGGTTGGTAATAGAGTGATGAAATAAAACTCAAAAGAAATGTAACCTTTATTTATTGAAATCATAAATCTCATCAATACAAGAAATGTAAAAATAAATTCACTTTAATTGTATATATTGAATGTTAATAGTACACACGTTATTTACATTTTGATTAACCCATACAAATCATCAATCACACTAAGGGTTGCCATTTTATACACTGCATTTTAATACCAAGAATAAACTGTTTTAATCTCCATTAATGTACATTTTACATTAAAAGCCATACAGAATATCGAAACATACTCATTAATAATCATAAAGTAACTAAAATTCAATAAACTTGTAATCTAGATAATACAGTAACTCTTAGCAACTATAAACTAAAATAAAATAAAAATAATGCATTATAATGAAAATCACGACTACAATAATGACCGAAATGAATAACCGATTTTAATCCAAAACCTCTAGATTGACATAGTTCGTTTTTTGACCAAAAGAACCAATGTATAAATCCCATGGAAGATTTTGGCTTGAGATCGAATAATTTCGTCCGTAAATTATTGAGTAACATAAAAATGGGCGACCCTATTAGAATAAAGTACGCGATGTATCAAGCATATTTCTTCATAAACTTCAATAAATACTTGAGTTTTGGCATTTCTATGTTGTGGATGCATCTGTTGAAGTCTCCGATGACCTTGACGGAGTGTGTCATCATCCTAGAGATAATATCTTTAAGGCAAACGCTTAGATCTGAAACTTCTTTGAAGCCATGAATGGCGATTTCTGCCATCACTACAGGGAATGGCGATGTCTCGTATAAGAACTGGAAGTAGAAAAATACAAATTGTACTATGAAGATATTATTATCCTATAATACTAGTGTAAAAGTTACTTCAAGGGATGTATTGTAAAAGAGCACACCAGGAATCAAAGTAGTTAAAACTCGATTCGTTGGAATATATAATTATCCAGTTGTACCAAACTAGTCTCTTGAGAATCATTATTTTTAAATAGCTGTGAAGTCCTAATTTATTTGAAACGCTACAATTGTGGGATAAGATGGGAAATTTTAATCATAAACATTACTGCTAAGGGTTACTTTGATGCATATAAGTTTTGTACTAATTCTCTTCTTTAAAGCTTATTTATATTAATTTCTTGTTCCACATATTTGATACTTACAACAGTCCTTTCAAGATCTTGACTCTCATGGGAGCAGTTTCCACCAACTTGCTGTTGCTTCTGGCATTCAAACAACTTTGAGGCTGAATACTTCTTTAAATTCTCCAACGTTTCGAAGTGAACTTGCAGTTTTTCTGTAAAGACGGCATTGTTGAATCATAACATTGAAAATACAATTCTCTATGTCAGATTATTATGCAAACTTTATCAAACTGTTAAACACGCTCTCGAATTCCTATATTGAGTCACTCCATTTACAAGTTGATTCAATCAATCATCGAATGTCTGTCATAACATTGCACTTTCATAGCCAAGCCACCTAGATTTTACTATGACACACATCGGCTGTTATTATAACAGAGTGCTGGTTTGTTTTGGCGACTACCTGTATTGTCACTAGCGGATATATTGATGTTGATAAACAAGGAACACCGTCCCAAAATAATACGGACGCATGTAGGTTGACAAAGCCGACGGCCAAACCGTAAACAGTTTAGATTTAAAGTAAACACCACCGCTTTACCGGCAACGTATTTACTTATTTAACTTTCCTACTACCCCTTTCGATAAAAAGTGAATGTTTGGAGAGGATTTTGTATCTTATCTACTAAATAGTACCTATTTATCAGTACTAGGGTAATATGCACCAATTTGTTTAATACTGTATTTTGGTTACAAAACCAAATGGAGTTTCTAGCTCATTTTCCATATGAATCCACAAATCTTAAGAACGAGTACCTAGCTTCACTGACGAACAGACTGACAGACTACTTTTATATTTTGACGTTCCAAAAGTATCTATTTATGGTTAAGTTAAAAAAAATGATTTTGGCTTTGATACTAAAAATTTGCAGCATATTGCTTATACTGTCTGGGGGTTAATTATTCAGATCAATGAAAAAATTATATAGTAAACATTTTAGTAGCCAACGTGGTCCAATAAAACTCACTAGCAAGTAATTTACTGCCTTTACTACGTCAAAGAGAAAAGATATTGGTCAGTGCCAGCATAATCGATTCTACGACAAACAGGAAGCCTGATTTAACTGAGCTCGACCGCGCATTCATTAAGCCCAAACTACAACACAGACCATGCACACAATATCATTGGATCGTCCGGAACCCTGAATATCACCTATATTACAGTGGAAGTATTGTAGTCTATTAATATACTATCATTATTAACAAAACTTTCTCAAAGGAAGTACAGTTATTACTTTCATACTTTACAAAATCATTTAAAGTACTTCACGTCGTATATTTCAAACAGACTAACTATATGTGTAGGCTTGTCAATCTTAATAAAAATGTACATACACAAAAGACTCGATACCAAAATCTTTGTTAAAAAACCAAACCCTTTCAATTCTTGGTGATTTCTCTAGAGAATTAAACAAAATTTGAAACTATCTCCGGCGTACCCCAAGGAGCTATCTTTGGTCCGTTACCAAAATCAGACCCCAAAAAGGTCCTGGTAATGGAAAACCGCTATTAAAATTAATAGAGTTAGTTCTTATTTACATAGTTAACGTTAACATACCTGGTAATCTTTGTACCCTTTGGTAGCCAAGCGCCAAGCACAATGTGACATTTTCGTCCGCTAGCTGCAAATTTTCTCCGAGCAGCTTAACTATGCTCTCTTTGCAATACGTTCCGTTCCGAGGCTTACGGTCGTGTATTATCACCTAGGGAAGCATAAAATGGTCAGCTGTAATCGGATGAACGCTTGCAGCAATTATTGAAAACCATTAAAAAGTGTAAGCTTGAATTTTATTGTTGGAATTTTGGTCGTAATGGGTAAATGGCAACTTTAAGTTATGGCTTCAAGAGCATTTGAATGGGTGGAAAATTATAAAGTTATATTATTTTGCACCCTATTCCCGAATTAGTTGTTGGCCAAAAAATAAGTTTGATAACACATTTTTTCAAGATAACGGATACATAATTACTTTTTTGGTGCAGTAACCAAGAAATACCATCTTTATGAATACACCAAAGAAAAAGATATCTTTTGAAATTAAGGAATTAAAAATTATAATAAAACATACCTGGAAGTACAGAGATATTTGCTCGAGGTAGACAGTCATGTAGTTAATGGCTTTGTCTGCTTCATTCTTCATTAGCAGTTTTATTTGGGATACGAGCGTGTCCATATCCTCTCGAGATTTCTGTGTTCGGACCTGAATGTCCGCAATCAGCGCTCGGTACCCATTTATTAGGTTATCTTGGAAATCTGTCGTCTGTAAAATGAAGTTGTGTTTATTTAGATATTTATATTGATTGATATTTGATTTTTAAAATTGTCCTGTTTACGTTACTCTTACTATTTGGTGAGATTCAGTGATTACATGCTAAATTAACATAATATTATATTATACATGAACAATACGAAGCAAAATAGTAAAAGACAGGAAATGTTGAATCAAAACTATCTCATTACTGAATTGAATGAAGTAATTGAAATAATATTTGTATTACATTATTAAACATCGGGAATGTGTGAAATATTCACACAAGAGTACGGTAACAATCGATTTGTATATCAAACAAATTTGTAATATTGCGATCTTCCTGGTTATTCGATACGATTATATATCGCTTAAACAAGAAACTGTTTACTATTACCTCTTTTGCGAGTAACAAGAGTTGAGTATTTTCTACTTTAGAATTGTTTATCTGAGGTAGATTATAACAAACACCATGATTGTCAACTACATCCAGAACTGAACACCAAACAGATATAAAAATCTGTTACATTTTTACACTTGTAGCTTAGCTCATTTGCTACATCAGACGAATCGAAAATTTCGTAGGCATTCGAACTGCATTCACACTCGTCTTTGATTTTAGGCCTGCCTATAAGATAATAGTTTAAGATATTCAACATCAGATATTAATCATTGTGGTTCTTTAAGTTGCCCTACACTAGGATTATCTCCTGTATCGTTGGTTTCATTTTTTTTTCTTTTTCTTTTACCAACATACAATTTCGCATACACATCTTAATAGTTTGCACTTAGCAAAACAAAACGTAAGCGATTTTCGTCGTTTATTTACGAAATGATAACGTTGATTGGCTATTGTTCTGCTAATCTCTTTTTTCTTTTTACAGTTGGTAAAGTAGGTGTAATGTGTTAATGTTCTTGACAAACGTGTGTTGCTTACACGAGGTGGTTTATGACGATGATATTACGTCTTCGTCCGCTTTACATAAAAGGACCTTTAATATTTCACTTGTCTCTCAATGCCCTTGATTTATTTACTTAGTTATAACAAAGGAACTACTTAAGAAAAAAGTTTAACCTAAGATGGTCAGAGTGTCTATTTTGCCGTAAAGATGTGGTCAGTGGGCTGTAAGATCTAACTAATCTTAACTTGTTTGATCCCTAAAATAATCTATCTATAACTCCCTAGGCTAGGTACCTTAAAAGTCTAACCTTAAGGTACGAGTAATCTACCAATTTAACAGTACAATGATTTCGAGAATAATCAAATCGCAACTTAAATTTGCTTATGCTATGCCATTGAGAACATACCCCTGTTCTTAATTCGAATTTTAAATGTACATATATTTGCGTTCTCATTTCAAATACATTTTTTACGGAAACTTTTTTAAATAGTTTTCGCTCGTCATTAACGCTGAGGCTTTTAATCCTCAAAGTCGCGGGTAACAAGCGATGTAATGAAGCCTGACTTGTAGGGTTTATTTTAATATGGCGATTTTTTATTTATATTTGCTTTAAGATAGTAAACGAAAAATAGACATTATTTATTTTGTCATTAAATTATAATAATCGCTGGTTTTGTTGTAAAAAGTCAATAATATGTTTAAAGACTAAAACTAAAACTAAAAGTAATATCCGACAAAATTGACATTTACAGTAGTATAAGAATTAGATTCAAATTAAAAGAAGTAGTATATTTTTTGACATTTTTGTTAATTTGTACGTAATGATCTACATAATTATATTAATTTTAATTATAAATTACTCACCTGCAGAGTAATGACGATTGAGATCGCAAATACGAAAATTATCCTGCGATACATTTCCTGTCTTTTTATAATCACATCCCCTAATCAACTATTTACACACATCCTTTTTATTGCCCAAAATAAAATATAAAAAACAATGTTGTAAAACTTCCAATATTTTATGGACGATTAATTTTAATTTACGATTATTAATTTACGATTAGACGATTTTTAAATGAATTATTTATTATTTGAAACGTGGTGCAATGTTGACTGATTGGTCTTCCTTGCTCAACTGCTTGTTTAGCTGCGAGCTATGTTTTGCTTAACGGCGTCGATTACTTTCAGCCGTGTTATGATTTTGCTCAAAACTGTACCACACCGATGACTCTTTCGTTCGCTATAGTTTATGATACGAAGCTGAATTGTTTTATTGTTACCAGTTAACTATATAGGGTACCGCACGATTAATCGTTTTAACAAATTAATCATATATTTTGTGTTCGATAAATTAATATTTTAAATGTGAATTTAATTATCACTGTGTACATTAAAGCTAGCCAACCGTGGTTCTATGTCTAATACAAAAAGGCTATTAATGAAGTGTGCGCCACCAAGGTATTCATATTTTTTGTTGAAATAGTCTGTTCCATAATATTGACAATACATGTGGTCAATTGAAGGAGGAAGTTCTAACTTCTATCCTGTTTAAACTATAACGTTCTTTATACAACGTATCTGCCGGAAGGCATTAGCTTATCTATACTAATAATATGTATAACTAACTACACCTCCAAAACTACTGGTTTGATTCGAATAATTATTTTTGTGTAAGGAAGTCCATAATATCGAAGAAGGCTATAAAACATCATAATATGAGTAAAAGTAGCCGAAAAGCGGGTAGAAGTACGTACTTAGCTGGCTACTTACTATACACCCTTAGAATGTTATAAACAACATTTATAAGTGTGTTTTTATAAATGTTGCATTATTATGTTATTATTTATCTTGCAAATGGCAAACGGACCACAACAATTACAATATATTTTGACCCTACTTTTACTTTATCCGCTGATGCCAGAAAAACAAACTAATGACTACATTACGAACAGAGACCGCGAAAACCGCAGCATTTTCTGATAAGTTTGCACCTTTGAAACTGCTTTCTCCAACCAGGTCCTTAAGTGTGGTGATATAGAAATCTCCTAATATGTACATATGTCACAGTCGAAAATATATTTTTTTATGGCTGTGCTTATGTAATATATGATGATATATGTTATGTTAAAACAGCACTACTCAGTTGAAATTAATTTAAAACGTTAAATTACATATACGGAACGAGAAAATACATATTTTGTTTATGATTAAAAATTATTCAACAACACACAAAGAAAATAAACAATGACACTTAGTCTAATGTACAATCATTCATAAGATTTCATTCACTCATGTCTCAGATACAAAACAATAAAACAATTGATCTATTTGTGAATGATTCGCATTGCTATGCGGAAGAAAAATTTCTGTATTTTTTGTCTTTAAACAATAGTTGTATTGGGCATCAAATAATTTTATTCTGCAACATTGTAAGTACATAAATTACATAGATTTAAGAAAATCATAAAATATTTTTTAATGTAGCATGACAACAGACAGTGTTTTAAACGTTGTGTTTATTACCATCACAGCGCGTAATTTTTTTTGACAGTGTTTTATATTTTATTTTAAACTGACCCGTGCCGATTTTGGCCACGACTTTTCTTATTTTTTTTTTGTTCATAAGAATTCCCGGCTCCCTAATTTTGCGCTTAAATTCGGAACTTAAGACTTACGATTAAATTTTAATTCACAATTGGTAAATTTTCTGACACTGAGTATTGATTTAATAAAGAATCACACATTTTTTATTTATCTATGATAAACAAATTTCTTTTCGCGTTTCGTTTTGACATTATCGAGAGATTGACAAAAGTAAGAAGTTGATTGAGACTGCAACAAATGATGACCAAAACAAGGGAAGAGAGCTCATCTGTTTACTAACACCTTTACAGTACGGTTTCCTCCACAATCGCTTAAGGAGATAAGCAAAAATATGCTTCTTAACAACATTATCAAACTGTCTACATCCAGATACTGCTACTGGAATATGGACCTTCTTGACATGAGAGAGTTTACCACAATGTCCATGCTTAGACTTTTTGCAATTTGAAAGGCCTAGGTTTACCAGAAATCGCTGCTATTTAGCCTCTGTCGGGAGTAAATTAAAATAATGTTAACAAAAATTTTAGCATTATTTTTTTTGTGAAATTAACAACGGTAAGAACCAATCACATTTAATTTCTAAGATAATTTTTGTGTGTCTTATATGCTAGGATGCAAATGTAAGAGCCTGTTTTACCAAATTTATATGAGTTGCTTATGAATTTAAGTGCTATCAAAATATAATAAAAATTAAGTTCTGTTTTCAAATTTATCGCGCAAATAAACAGCTTATTATATAAAATTATGAATAATTATGTATTATAATTAATTAGTGATTCCTAAATGTACAAATATTTATTATAATAAATCATCTCGATCCCAGCTGTTCTAATTTATCCATTCTCTAATATTAAATTCAAAAAGCGAACCACAATTCAAACTATGGTTTTGCATCTAAATTTATGTGGACCACAGACTAATAATATATGGTCGCATACAGCCACTGAAATTGTGTGATATCGGCACTCCACGTAATAAAATGAAAAGACAATGTACGGTTACTTCTCCACCGAGGATATAGTTTATGGCACACAATATATTAATGTGGCTTCTAAGAAATAATGACAGTCTTTAGTTAGCTGCAACAGTCGTAACTTTGAAATATACTATCATTTTATAGGTTTGCGGTATTGATGTATTCATTTTCATATATTATATTGCTAGAATGTAATGTATCTACTTAATAAGAGTGAAAGAATTGTGATTTGAAAACAGTGCAAAATTGTGTAATACAACGCCATCTATTGGATTTTTCACGCATTAGCAAGAGAACGCTAAGCGAGTTTTTCCTAAAAATTATACCCTGGGAAAGTACAGATGGGGTTGGTGACGCTGTTCGGAACTAAAATGAATTCGTAAGAAAATTAAGAGCACCCCAAAATTGTGATAACTAGGTACCTAGCTAAGCATCACCCAAAGGTAAGAAAGATTGATAGACAAAGCCTACATCATTAAACATCCTGTTAAGTGCAGCTAAAATCATATAAAACTTTAATAAAAAAATCGCTGTACAGTATTATATTAATAAAATGTATAGTAACAGATCAAAAATACACTATTTCTAAAATACAGTAGAGTCTAATATCGTAGTCTAAAATTTTTGCTAAACATAAATTCCAATTTATGTTTAGCAAAAATTTTTTACTACTACTACATTTTCAATTCGAAATACTTTATCGGTGACTGCCTTCCCGTAAAATGTAGTTGAGATTTCGAAATATCGTGATCATGAATTGCAACGTACCAGGATTGCGATTCAATAGTAGCTTGTGAGTGGTTTATTGCGTTCCCCTGTATTATGTACAGAGTTTAATATCCAGTGCTCTTGTCTAAGCGAGACGAGGGTGAAATAGCGAATAACAGTTTCGCTAAAGGAGTAAGTAAGGTTGTGTGTGTGTGATGTGTAGATTCTTATATTCCATTTCCAAGATATTTCTGACCATTCTGAGATAAAATTGGGTACTTTCTTGTTGAGGGCGAAAGTCATCCAGTGACTTCTCCCGCCCTGGGTGAGTCGAGAAAGAGTTTCAACGCCTTACTGAATAAAAACCTTCCTTTTCCTGCTGCTCTAGGACGGGGCAATCATACTATTGCGCCTTGGAACCGCAACCTAAGAATACTTGAATAAGTAAAATTCTACATCGTCATTTCAAATTGCCTACATCACCATTTTTCGAAAAAGTTTGTATAGATTTGTGTGGTGCGTTGTCACGTTCTTTTTGCATCAAATTGCATTCATACTTATTTCTTAAAAACGGTCTGAAAAAAAGGGATTTTAAATAAAGATATATTTATTTAATATTAGCATTTACAGATATTGAAGTCTTGAAAGAGTGTTTGGTTTAATAGTTTGTTGGATTGACAAGTCGCAAGTAGGTTTACAAATTTTACTTAGCTACCAGCAAAACCTTCCCTGTTTCAGTCAAAAAGGATTTTTAAGTACTATGAATAATAATTCGCATTTAATTTAGGAAGCAAACACGTGCAGTCGTGATACGTTTTAATAGAATAATGATACATTTTTGATTTTGGAAAAACAATGTCATGAGTATGTTGAAAAAACAAGAGACGATATCGCAGTTCGATATCAAAAAAAAAAACAAAATAGGTCGAGAAAGTAGTAGGTACATATGTTACAATATATTTTATATACATACACTTTAATGTTAATACTTAGATAAATTTCACCTCCTTAGATACCTACCGTCCTAGTTTAATTTAAATTCATTGTATTTTGTTACGGTACATTTGCATTTATCTTGAATGCAAATTTCATTAGAGAACCGAACCGGAGCAATACTGAAGGTATTTCTGTGGACGATAAAATAATACATTTATATTTAACACAGCGTGGTAATTGATTTTTATATATAAGTAATTAAATAACGTATAAATTTGAAAATGTGAGTATGTGACTACAGTTTAGAAAATGTGACTATATAAAAGTGAGCAATAAAAATGGAACAATGGAATGGAATGGAACGAACTCGGTTAAAAATCACTACATAGTATAAAACAAAGTCGCTTAGATATAATGATTGAAGAGGAAGGTTCATGTGTATATTAACATCTTTAAAATAATGAAGAAATATTGTATCAGACTTGCACCCGTGCGAAGCCTGGCCACGTTGCTAGTTATAAAAAATAATGATGAAAAAAGTTTAAGTAATTGCGTGTGGTTATTACAAATCACAACGGAATAGAATAAGGCTCATTTCAGTTGAAATTCGGTATTCTTTATTTAAATATTTTAAAAACCTCGCTTAAAGCGAATTTTCAGACTGCTTAAGGGTTAGAATACAGGATGATAG